AATTTTAAGGAATTCTCTATTTTCACTTTGCCATGTTTTGGTCCACTTTATCTCCTCCACTAAAGATTAAAAAAAAAAAATCAAGATGTTTTATATTAACTTGGAGTTCTGACTGCAGTTCTGAGGGATTGAATGTAGGTCATTTCCAGCCCACTGTCCCTGGCTCAGTGAGGAGAGAGGGTCCTGCTGCTGGGAGCTCCTTCTGCTTTTGCCTTTTCTGCTTTTGCTGTAGTTGTGGTGTTTACACTGTGTCAGCTTTTATTAAGATGAATTATGATCATTTCCATACAGCTGGGTGGCAGTTGTGGGAGTTTACGTTATCAAAGCAAAACTCAGACTTGCTCAGCCAATTTAGATGTCAATAAAACATTTGTTACTTATTTTCAGTTTTATCATTGGCTGTAATTTATACTTAGGATTGAAAATGTTAACATGTGTGACTGAGTTTGTTTTAATTAAGTGTATAATTAGGCTAATGAACCTTGTAAAAATGTAGTGGTGCAATCCTTAATATAATCTAAGCAGTTAAATTTCTAATTATGCATCCAAAGTCATGTACAGAGATGCTGCCTTTCCAAGGCTGGCTCTCTGGGGCTGTATTCTCCTTCTTTGCCCCCTTTTGGGGGTAAGAAACATTGTACAAAAGCCATGGTGAAGGACTTCAAAGAAATATTTGTATATTTACATATTTTTTAATGTAGGAAATTCATTCAAAAGTGGGATTTGTACATAGCGGACATAGTGTGTTTTCCCCTAAATTTTTGAAAAGATAGAGGAACCAGGGAAGAGAGGTAGTTTTGGGGGTGTTTTCAGTTTACCAGAAGAAATCCACTTGCCCAGAAAGCATCTTGCCAAGTCAGGTTTGCATTAGATTCATGCAGGAGGTGAAGAGGTGCTGCCCCATGTAACCCTGAGCCCTGATGCTGTGGCTTCCCGGAGCTGACCTCCCTGCTCTTGTTAATGATGACCTGCTCCTGCGTCCTCCTGCACAGTCAGGCTGGTGCTCTGCCCCTGGTCCTTCCCCCAGGCGACCTCCCCTCCCCACTGCCCGACTCCTCTGCTCCCTCTCCTCGCTCTTCTGTCTTTCTCGCAAAGTGGTTCCTTCCGATGAAAAGTGGTTGCCCCTAATGAGGAATTCCGGTACTGACTGCCAAGAAGGAAGACTACTCTCTACCCTGGCATAGAGTCATGCCAAAACGCTCTGACCTTCACGACCTTTAATTATTCTCTCTAATAAGAGTGTTAAGGGAATCACAACAGCATCAGCACTCACTTCTTTATTCCTTTAGAGGGAATTCTAGTTGCTGGTTGAATTTGCAAAACAGACTCCTAAAATTTGTTTCTAATTATAAATACTACCTGAGCTGCCTTTTCATGGGCAGTGGGGGTGGGGGGGGGGTGGAGACGTCTCTGCTGTCAGACACAACATTCCAGGAAGATGAAAATCTCTGTTATTACTTCCCATTGATTTCCCTCCAGAGGGTCCTCTTCATTCTCATTTTGGTTGTTATGTTATCGGTTCAATTTTCCTGTGAAGTTTTTTTGATCGTTCATTCCCATTCCTTTTGTAATTATTTTCACCTAGTGAAGCAAATGGGATAATATTGCAGATTGTACCATTTTCCTTTTCAATTAACCCATTCTTTTGAAGAGAATGATTCTAATAGTGTGGTCAAGCACTTAGAAATCAGCAGGCTACTAACGTCTCCTTAATTCACTCTGTTCTGTTGCTTCCCTGATCTCTTGCTGCTGTCACTAGGTGAAATTTTTCCCTTTCTGCTCCCCTCCCCACCACCCTCACCCACCCCATCGACTCTCCAGTCTCTAGTGCCGAGAAAAGGATTCTGAGGTTTCTGCGACTACTTTAATAATGTTGGATTCTAAAACCTCATTTAATAAGCTTTGGCAATATTTCATGTAAATGTGATAGCATACTTGTTTTCGATTTGTAGCATTTTTACTGTATGTGAGGATTACTCATGCATTTGGTTGTATAAGAGGGCTTGTATAGAAAGACAAGCCATTCTATGAATGAAGCATGTCAGGCCTTTTTACTGTATATTATTATCCTGGGATGATTCCCATGGGGGGAAAAGTAGATTTAAGAAAAGAAAAATGATTATCTAGATGAATATAAATCCATGGACCTATTCATCTGAAGAATATTAATACCACTTGTAGAATTAAATTACAGATTTCCAAGTTAGATTATTTAAACTCTTATAGATACTGAAAGGTTTTATTGGAGATAAATTTATAAATTTAAACAAATGACTGATACTAGCTACCTGCTAAGTAATTTCCATTAAACTTGGTCTGACTTTCTCTATTTCCCTAAAAATACTCTATTTCAGAATACACAAAATATTTCAGAATATATAAAAACATAATAATTTTTAGACACTTGAGATCACAGCAATGTTGTAATTGTATTGAGAAATTGCTCATGATCTCATTGATTAAAAATTAATTAACTGGAGTGACTCTTGGTAGGGCATACTTTTACTCAGGGGCTGAACACATGAACTTGAAAGAACTGTTGTTGGTCCTTTGAGGCAGCTTTTAGCAACAGAAGTGATACCAAGTCATGGTTCTATTAGGATTGCCTGTGGGTGGCTCAGTCATCTTTTTTTTCTGCTGTGTTCTCACGTTGATGCTTGGATGGCAAAGTGGCCCCACATCTTCTCCTGGTTCCATTATTACCAATAACTGTGATTCAGTTTGATTTCTCTTCTTATTTTGTCCCATCCAGCAGAGACATGGGCATATCTTAATGATGTGATGCCTCTGGATAGAACACTTTGTTCAGTTGCCCATGCGTGTGTGTGCGCTCCGTCACTCTTTCACATCCGACTCTGCGGCCTCGTGGACTGTATCTCACCAGTCTTCTCTGTCCATGGGATTACCCAGGCAAGAATACTGGAGTGGGTTGCCATTTTCTTCTCCAGGGGATCTTCCCAACTAAGGGATCAAACCTGTGTCTCCTGCATTGGCAGGTGGATTCTTTACCACTGAGCCACGTGGGAAGCCCATAGACACAGACAAATCATAGGGAAGCTTGGGAAGGTAGACTGAAGGCTTGCTTACATTTTAGAAGTCACTTTACATTTACCGTGCACTTTGGTGATGCACAGTAAGGTCTCACTTCCTGCCAAGCAGGGACTCTGATGGCTCTGGTCTCATGCTGCTGGCTCAGTGTACTTTTTCTTACCTTTGAGCTTAGAGGATTTTTATATTGATTTAGTTCCAATATATGATGGCAAGTAACTAACAGTGACCCATGTCATACTTTTCACTAGTCACCAAGCTTCTTAGACTCTTATACTAGTAGATGTTAATCCCCAATTATTAACATGACCCAAAGGCAATTTAAATGTCATCTCCTCTTATTCTTGCAGTAGGTGTACTTAACCATAGTAAGACACTGTGCTTCTTCACTATATTTAATAATAAAGTTTAGAATGACATTAATAGTGACTCAGTAAATAGTCATCAAAGAAACAGGGTTAAACTGTAGTATAACAACCAAAAAACAAAAGGGCCTTCACCTCAGTGAATTTCAGCTCAGTCCTGTATTTGGTATAAATGATACCATCATGAAAAAGAGGATCTGATTCTGCATTTTATTTCACTTACTCTATTTTGCAAAACCTTGTTAGGAAACTTGTTTGCCTTAGATAAACCTAAGCACCCATTCATTCAGTTTTCATTTGTCAAGACCTTACTACAAGCTCAGGCCAATGTTCCCCACTTTCCAGGAGTTGACAGGGCAACAATAGAGATAAGATGTGTGTATAAGTAACAGTGACAGGGCAATGAGATCAGCAGCAACAGTTACCTCAAAGGTTTAAAAGAGGATGCTATCTATTGGAGCATCTTTCTATTGGACAGTACATACTTCAGATTGTATTCCATTGGAAAATACAGATAGGTGATTGGAAATTTGGTGTCTTCAACTTTAATTTATGCAGGATTCTTAATGCTAGTCTCCATATGGGCATTTTTTGTGTCTCTAAATATTAGGATTATGAAAGAAAATCTAAGCTTGGGACAAGCCGAAAATAAATTCATAAAAATTTTAACATGATCATGATACAGAATAGATGCTAATCTTCACAGTAAATCAGAGCATCAGGACTAGGTGAGGATTCCTGTTACTTATGAAGCTGTGATCATATATAGTGTTTGCTATTTCTATGGGGTATATAGAATGTCCATCCTGTCAGTCAAGGAGTTGGTGCTCCAGACCAAGTACATTTGCAATAATCTTTCTCCCCCCTCCATCTTGGTCTCTAAAAGTTCACTCAGGCTTTTCTTTCTACTTGAAGTTTGACTTAACACTGAGAGCTGAATGGTGACTGCCAAGATTGGAACTTGTCCCTGGCTTCCTATTTTCTTCCAAAGGGAATAATGGCAACAAATTACGTACTTCTGGGAGACCTAACAAGTTTTGAATTTCAGAACATGAGGCAATATCAAATTCAGATGCCAGGAATGGAAACTCTTCTATTTTTGAAATCTTCCCAATTCTCCTTCTCAAATGTGCAATGCACCCGGGTGAGCTTCTCCTCCTTACCTTTCCTTTCGTGGAAAGATGGAGTTGCCATCAGCACTGTACCAGCTGGCTTGAAACAGAAGACTGCCAGACTGCTCACTAATCCATGCTCATTCACTCTGCCCGCTGCCTCAGCCACTGAGTCGTTAGGCCGGCTCTGTTGGGAGCGTTTGTAAGCATAGAGAGAAGTGTACACTGTATTTCAGAAGCATGACTCTGACACTCCAGAAACAATTGCTCATATTTATTGAAAATATCCCTTTTTATGCACCATTTATACCATCATGATTTTTGTGTTGGTGTTATCCTAAAATGTCTGAATAGCGATTTAATATACCCCTTTATTAGGCAGCCTTTGTAAATATAATACCAACATTAAAGCAGTAGGGTATTGTGCACAGTAGCAATATTACATGTGTAACAATTTGCATTCTTAATGTTCCAGAACCCTGGGGTTATTAGTAAAACGATTGGAGAAAGGTGGTAAAGCTGAACAAGAAAACCTTTTTCATGAGAATGATTGCATTGTCAGGATTAATGATGGCGACCTTCGAAATAGAAGATTTGAACAGTAAGTGTGGGCTGCCTCATTGCTGCTCTTTTCTGCGTCAGGCATGACAAGAGTGCAGGTGCTGGGAGTACCTTGGACCATGTGTCTGTGCTCTTTGCCTTCATGCTGGAGAGGGGAATTTTCTGCCATTCTCTCGCTTTTAAAAATTTCATCAAACTCCAGGTAATCGCTACTATTAGACTATAGTCTAACGGCACTCCTTCAGAAGTTATGGGCCCAGTTTAGGCTTTACAATTTGGCAACTTCCTCACCTTCTGAAAAATTCACCAGGTTGCTAGTTTTTATTATACTTTTAGCTCACACTACCAACTTTGTCACACATAACATGACAAGCAGGCAGATTTTCCTTATCTTGATTCAAGCCCTTACTCAATTAAAAAGCTACAAATTCTCCAGTTCCTATCAAATAAGGCAAGAATGAACAGGAGTCACAAGGGCCCAGTTTAAGACCTGACTAGGGATCCAGATGAAACAGAGGAGCTTCTTATACTGGTCTGGGAGTTGCACGGCAACCAACTGCTCTTGGGTCACTGAAGCTGCATTGGCATTTTTGAGGGATTTTTTGCGTGTAGAGACTTGGATTAATTTTTCTGATAAATAATGGATAGTCACTTTATATAATTTTCTAAGTATATTTTTAAGTGTGTTTCCTTAAAAACTCGATTGGTCTCCTTGCAAGGAAATACTTAATAATGATTTTCAAAAGTCCTATTGGATAATGTTGTAGAGAGGTTATATTTAATTTCTCTTAATATTGAAATGATAATACCTCATGCTTAAAGCTACAGTATAACCGAATGATTGACAGTGCAGGACCCAGCATTTCAACTGTAGTTGTAGATAGTTTTGTCATTTTTAATTTGAGAATTAAAATTTATATTGGGGTTGTTTTTAGTTTCAACAAAGTGTGTCCATTCTTGTTGCTTAATGCATATACTTAATTAAGTTCATAACACCTTCGAGTCCGCCAGTCTTTTTTTTGCTAACTTTGCATTCTTCCTCAAAACCAGAGCACAACACATGTTTCGCCAAGCCATGCGGACATCCATCATTTGGTTCCATGTGGTTCCCGCAGCCAATAAAGAGCAGTATGAACAACTGTCCCAAAGCGAGAGGAACAATTACTACTCCAGCCGCTTCAGCCCGGACAGCCAGCATGTGGATCACAGGGGTGTGACCAGCGCGGGGCCGCAGGCCCTGCCCAGGGCGTCCCGGCTGAACCCCCCACCTGAGCACGCGGACCCTCACCCCCGACTCCTACCTCAGAGCGCGCAGCCCTTGGGAAAGCCGCCTGCCGCTCCGGCCCTGGCAGCACAGCATGTGTTCAGTCCCAGCAGTGGTTACAACACCAAAAAAATAGGCAAGAAGCTTAACATCCAGCTCAAGAAAGGTACAACTGATCTTCCCGTCAAGTCAGCTTTCTGTAACTAACCCCAAGCACCCCAAACACCTTAAGTCTTATCTCATTATTACAACTGACATGACTTTTAAAGAAAGTACTTCAAGTTGTGTTTTTTTATGCTTTTCAGATTCCCTTTGCTGTATAAAAATTTACACGTACAAGTTCAGAGGATAAGCCAGATGTTTCTAGGAAAGGGGTGGTGGTTATGACTGCAGTACAGTTGTTGACAGTGAAGGAAATGGGATTCAGGCTGTTACCATCAAGCCCAAAGCAACAGGGAGGCTTTGACCGTTTTGAGTGCCCCATTTGATGTCCAGGAGAACCAGAGGCCCTTCCTCCACTTTGGGTCTGTCTTTTGGTGTTGGGAAGGGATTGACTCCTTTGAAGCAATGGGTGGTTCCTGGTGGAATGCTGAGAAGCGAGGCCCCTGGTCCCTTGTCCCCTGCTCTTCTGGAATATCCTGTTGCTCCTTTCTTAATGTGCCAAGGAGAATCGGAGTGGCCCCGGCTGATACTTCACCCATGCCTTACATCGTGTGTTTTGTAAGGCTCTCCACCTGCAGATGAGGAATCCCTGCATGCTGGGGGACGTGTGTGTCTGCTCTGACCTTCCCCATGACTCAGAGCAAGCAAACTGCTAGGCTCTTCTCTGACTCCCTGTCACTGTCCCCTCCAGATGCTGTCATTAATCATCCCTTCTAGCTGAGCATTTTTATGTGTTTTTAAATCATGCCCCTCAAAATGGTGTCATTATAAAGAATGTTTCTCCTTTTATGAGGTCAACCATCTCCCACGGTTAGTTGGAAAGGAACCCAAGAGAGGTTGAGTGATTGCTACAAGTCACGTGGCCATTGGTGGCAGAGTCTTACTAGAACCTTTTCCCTATCCTGACACTGAGACCATTCTTCTTTTCATCTGGTGTAGGGTTTCCGATGCTGTAAACTCTGAGATTCCTATTTCCTTCCTAAATCATACTCTTTCGTTGGACTTTATGTGAACCACAAAAGCCTTCTTTCTGGTGACTGGCTTTTTTAACCTGCAAATACTTGGTAGACCTGATCAGGAATTGACAGCCTCACTCCACTTTTGAAGCCCCTTACAAATACAGAATCGTATCAGCTTAAACTCTTCTCCTCCTGTTAATACAGGAATATCAGGTAAATGACAGGAGTTGGTTTTTTAAGCAAAAGCATATCAAGGAACACAAAAAGAGTTGTATACAACATAAAATTCTGCTTGGGGTCTCTCAACAGAGGAAGACTATTTTCAATTGTCATAGAGATGTTAGTTCTTAAGTATCTCTACCTTTTTACTCTGATGTAGGCATATTCACTGTTTAATTACAGTTTCCCATACAATTATTATATTACCACTTTATGATCTAGTATGAACTTTTTAAATGAAGTGAAATTTTATTTGCCATTAAAAGAATCACTCTTTTGAATACAGAAATGAATAGTTTATTTTGATAATATTTAAAAATATCTGATTATATGTATTACAGAAGCTAATTGCCTATGTTACAGAAGCTAATTTAGAAAGATTATGCTCGATCAACATAAAATAGAAATAATGGTTTTCTTTTAAACATTTTTCTGACCTTGAGTTATAGAATTGATATGGAGCCTCATAGATCTGGCTTGATTTTAGTTTATTAAATATTAGAATGTATGGTAAAAGGCAGAAACTGCCTGTGCATTCTGCCAGTACTTACAAATATTTTGTAAAAAAAACTATGTTCACTCTAAACAACAGTGGCAAAGAATGCTCATTGTCTTTGATTAGTACTAAATATAGATGCTTTAATGATTGAAGTTGAACAAGCTTTCATTCTAGTTAACAGATAGTATTTTTTCTAATTATTATTGTTGCACTTAACATTTTTAAGGAAGTACATCAAAAACATAGTGTTTGTCAGTGTTAAACTTTAAATTCAATTCAGAGTTAACTGATACAATTTGAATGACAGAAGCTCTTTATAAACTGAGGTCAATCATTATAATGATTCTTTGGCATAATTTTGAAACTATGTCATATAACATGTCAAAAGAGAATAGCTCCTATGTACTTCTTCCATAATTATGATTTCTTAATATTTATTGTCATTTTGGCATTCTCAAGTACCCTGCTCTTTTGTAGAAATTAGCTTTTTAATAAAGTCAGAGGAGAAGGTCAGTGATCTGTTTCAGTCAGTGCAAAATGTTTTGTTGGCTTTGCTAAATGAAAATTGATATCTATTTATCTTTGTTTGAAAGGTCATTGTCTGAACTTTTGGCTTACAGATTTAGGGGTTATTGCTGATATTTTAATAGTATTGAGGTTCATATAACAATCAGTCTTTGTAGTTCATAGAAATATTACAGAAGGAGAATCATTTAGAATTCTTTCTTAATAAATGTTATTGCAAGTCATTAGAGTTTCATGAAAGCACAGAGACATATGGAAAAGTCCCAGCAGAATAATTAGGAAAATTTCATATAGACAATATGCCATTCAACTCTTCACAGAAGACTTAAGAAATTAACAGCCCAGGCACATTAAAGTGATTTCAGACTTGAAATAAATGAATGTTTTGTTTGAATTTGATAATATTTACAGTAGGTTTTGTTAAACATACCATATTTTTTTCATTTCTACTTTGTTTCTTCTTTAACCCACATTTTTATTCATATTTATTTTCCCATGGATGTTTGTTTACCTAGAGATTCAAACCCTTACTTACCATTTTTTACTGAGTGCTACATCCAATTTATGAATTCTTCTATAAAGATTTTTCACCCCTTTACAAATATCTTTATTCTTCCTTTATGAACAAGTATTTGTCCTCATGTCATTTTAACTGGAATTAAAAAGTAACTCTTTAAGAAACTCTGGTAGAAATTAATCCTCATTGGAAGAGATAAAAATTCTGTGAATCATTAGAAATTTGTCATTGTCTCCACACTTTATCCCAAGTTATTCTGACTCGCTGCATTGTTGGTTTCATTGATATTGAACTTATTGCATTGAACTTTTCACTGTATTGAACTTACAAGGGTGCCTGTTGAGAAAGCTACCAAAGAGCCTGGAATTGAAATTTTGCAAACCAGCATAGTGATGGGTAATTGTCTCATTGGTTTCAGTATCTTTAAGCATTGGATGGTGATCCTCAGACTTGGTAGCTATGATCTCAGATGGGCAGTTTGCTTTTTTTGTTTTAAAGAAATATACATGGTATGATTTAGGTGAATTAGCAAAGAATGAGGCAAAGATAATATGGTTTATCCTGTCAGTTTGGGGAGGTCCTGTTATCCATATCTAGAAACATTTCACTGTTTCTTTTCCGTCTCCCTAGACTTGTTCTCTTCCTTTTCTTTACTGCCTACCCTTCAAATCTGAATACCATTATTGCACAATAACCCTTGATATTTGAGATACTATGAATTTTAACAGAAGGGTTTGCTGTGTGTGTGTGTGTGTGTGTGTGTGTAGAGAAATTGTTTATTTCTATAATCAAAGATTTAAAAACATTCAGCAGGCATATTTGTATATTATTTTCACCTGTCTCAGTATGTTCCCATTTCTTTTTAGACTAATGAATCTTCATATATGTACCATTTAAACCTGCCACAATTTAGTATATTTTGAAAATCTATTAAAATTTTTAAAGTATTAAAAGAAATGGATACCTGTGTGAAAATTACAAAATGTCAAGATAAAGTAGAGAATAATAGCCAAACCTTTATGTATATTTACCTGTGAAATCTCACTTTTTTTTTTTTTCCCGCCTGTTATACATTCAGGTACAGAAGGTTTGGGATTCAGCATCACTTCCAGGGATGTAACAATAGGTGGCTCAGCACCAATTTATGTGAAAAACATTCTCCCAAGGGGCGCTGCCATCCAAGACGGCCGGCTGAAGGCTGGTGATAGACTCATAGAGGTGAGTGGCTTCTCTGCATCCCCAGTTCCATAATTCTTGAAAAGCTCTCTTTTTAAGGGCCAAGGTTTTCCTAATATTTTCATAGAATTTGAAATTAAATTATATATTTTAGAAGTAGTATGCATCCTAAAACAATGTATTTCCGCTTCAGTTTTACATTTCTCCTTGTTATTTGATGAGAAATGTCTTTCATTTAGTTCACTCATAAATTTTTAGTTACTTGGACATTTGGTTTATGAGATAACATAACATTTGTCATTATGTAAGTACAGTGTCTGTTAGGTTATATTTCTGGATGACTTTAAATTTATGTCTGGCAGTATAGAAATGTTATCTCCTCTGGAATCAGAGCAGAGACAAATGAAGTAAATGAAAACAGTGTGTCTTGATGAGAAGAACAAGGAAATTTGGAAATGTCAGCGTGGAGAATGAATTGAGACATAAAAATCAAATGTCAGGGGGAAAAAAGAAGATACTTTTTCAAAGTTTCCTTTCTGTACCTCATGGGTTTCGGTTCATTGGTCTTTGAGGCTATCTTTGACATACACAGGATGGCTAATTTCTGTTTGCATGAGTTTTGTGCATGTAGAAATTCAGGAGAAAATGATTGAGAAAGAGGGTACCTTATTAGTGGTTTTTCTTAGTGTTCTCCTTAGGAAATAGTCTGTATTTTTAGTGGTAAGTGCATTCAAATACTAATGTTAAATATATGGAAGGGGTAAACAACAAGGTCCTACTGTACAGCACAGAGAACTATATTCAATATCTCATGATAAACTAAAATGGAAAAGAGTACTTATTTTATTGCTTTAAAAAAATTTTCATTGGAGTATAGTTGCTTTACAGTGTTACGTTAATATCCACTGTATAGCAAAGTGAATCAACTGTACATATCTATATATGCCTTCTTTGGAAAAGAGTATTTTCTTTTCTTGGCTGCACTGTGCACATGTGGGATCTTAGTTCCCCAACCAGGGATTGAACCTGTGCCTTCTGCATGGGGACCATGGAGTTGGAAAAGGTTATTTTAAAAAAGAATATATATATGTGTATAACCAACTCACTTTGCTGTACATCAGAAATTAATACAATGCTGTAAATCAACTATACTTTTAAAATATACTAATATTAAGGTAAATGTTTATGATGTTATCCTTTTTTCTTAACTTGTAGTCTCATATGTAACTTGAATCTCTCTAGCTCTAGCTCTCCTCCTAAAGATTTTTTGAAAAGGATGAAACCAAGGAATAGCTTCCAGATTTTTTCCCGCATATACATTTTAGGCCTAGGTTCCTTCAATCTTCCTCTTTCCTCTTTGTCTGTTAGCATGACACTTCATTTTAAAGGGATACAGATAGAAACCCAATGAAAAGAAAGGTTTGAGTAAAAATTGTGTTTCTGGTATTGTTTCCTGAAAGAGGCTCTTGTCCTCAGGCTATGAGTGAGGGTGGGTATTAGTCCCCATTTGTAGTTGTAGCTTGTTTCATTTAGGAAGTGTCTCATCTGGGACATGAGCCTGGTTATTTTTTGCCCCTAAATTAAAAAAAAAGTCTGTGTCCCTGTCTCCCTCTTCCCCCGCCTTCTTCCTTGCCGAAGGTAATCACTTTATTTTTGTGTCTCCCTTTCATCATGTGATCGCTTTGCTTGTGACACATTACAGAGGCTTTTGCTCTGCTTTTTGAGGAATGGAAGGGCCTGCGACCTGTACCTCTTCAGAATTACGCTTTCTTTTCCCTAGCTTTCAGTCATATTTTAACTTAATTATCTGGTATCCATAGTTATATCTACAGAATATCAGCAGTTCCGTGGGCAAAAAGTTTTCTGAGTATCTGGATATTTTCAAGCCTGTACATTTAAAACAAGTATCATGTGATTAATTTTTTAAAATGATCTAGAAAATTTTTGCTTTCTTTAAACCTGTTACTACCAAAAGGTTCCAAAACATATTTTAACTACAGGAAAGTTTTGATGTTACTATTTAAGTGATACACTTAATTGCCTTAACTCAATGTTATTTCTGTCTGAAGAGAGTATTATAGGATACTTTTTAAAAGAAATTTCCATTCTCATTTCTGTTAGCTATGTCATGTTGCTGATAATGTTATTATACTTTCTACAACAATGATGAGATTCCCCAGGATGTGGTTGTTTAAAGTCTATCTCTGTCTTTTTTTTTTTCCTGGTAGAATTCTCTTAAAACGTTGAAAAATCTTGAGATGAAATACTGCTTGCCCTCCAAAAATATTATTTTATAGAGATTCTTCTTCTGTGTTTGCTATTTAGTGATAAAAAGTTATTGCCATAATTTTCAGTAACATCTCAATGAAAGCTAAGATGCTTTTACCAAAATATTTTTGGTGTGTTTTACTACCCCTGTAAGGGCGGCACTTTTAAATTTTGATATAAGAAAATCTGTGATAAACAAGGGCATCATGGAATCGCAGTTCAAAAATAGGAATTTTTGTGCCAATGTGGCATTGTGGATATATTTGTATCTCTGGTTACTTGTTAATCTGCTGGCAGCTATGCTTTTGATTTATTGATGAGATCTGAAAGATTGACTGTTTCCTGCCTTGCTTCAAGATAACTGGCATGCCTTTCATTATTAGCCCCAGCAGCCTGGTGGTTACCAGATCAGGGCAGAATATACCATGCAATGAGTCTTGTTCCATGGCAGACATGATCAGTTCTAGAATGTGTCTCATCTCCTGTTAATCTGTTTGCATGGTATCGTCGCTGAAAACTTTTTGTTTGTTTTAGGTTAATGGAGTCGATCTAGCAGGCAAATCCCAGGAGGAAGTTGTTTCCTTGTTGAGAAGCACCAAGATGGAAGGGACTGTGAGCCTTCTGGTCTTTCGCCAAGAAGATGCCTTCCACCCAAGGGAACTGGTGTGTAACTTCAGAGCAGATGAATGGTTTCTGACACACATGAGTCAGTGATCTGGGCTAGCTACCTGCTAGCCAATGTTTATTAAAACATTTTCCAAGCCATTTCTATATTTTATATATCTTTCAGCCTTAACATAATATAAGCTTTCTTTCCTCACATTTGCTCCGTTTTGGAAATATATATCCACAATGTTGCATGCAGGAATATTTGAAAATCAAATTGCAGGAATATTTTCTAGGACAGCAAATGTTTATTACTGAACACTTTTAGATGGATTGATTGAATACAGAGATGTCAATTATTCCATAACTGTCACTTCAAAGGCTGTTGTTGAAAGCTTGCCATAATCTCCACTACATATGACAAATTTTCATATTTCAAGTTTTCATGGTACATGTAGCTAAGCCAAATAAAGATGCTTGCTTACTGCTGTATGAAAAAGAGGGCCTTAATTAAATAGTCTTACTGAAAGTAAAAAGACCTAAGATGCAAGAAGCCCTGGGGCCATTAATTCCTAATATAGACATTATTTGGAATGACATAAATGAAAAGGGATTTGTTTGCAAACTATTTATTTCACTTTTTATACATATGTCAATGTATCTAAATATTAGATACTAGTATTTATGTAGTATTGGTGTGAGTGAAATATGTATATTAAATTGACATGGTTGTTGGTAATATAAGTAATCACCTTAATTTTTTTGTTTTGATGTAGTAGGAAAATCAATTTACTTCAAAAACAAGTGATATTTGATATATTTCAAAAGATATTCCTGTTGGGTCATTTTAGGACATTTGACCTGTCTTTCAGATAGCTTTTAACTTTATCTAAACAATAATTAATCCATATATACTAAAGTGGGTAGGTTTTAGGGATGCAGTTTCAAAAGTCTTCTGATTACAGTAATTCTCTTAGGCTAATCCTTCAAATATAGATGTGTCATGGTTAGTAAAAATTCTCCTTTATTATAAAACAAATAAATTTTAGTCATGGGAATATCTCATCCCTTGGTGACACACACATTGACAATTTACTGTGATTTCATGGAAATTTCAGATTGTGATAGGGCTAAAAACTGAACACTTGTGTTTTAAATAGATTTTAAGAAATGACAAAAACTTCTTTATTTCTCTTTAAAAATGTTTAATGCATTATTTCTCAATTTAAATTCAGTTTTCCATTTCCCCCCACTGTTATCCAATTTTGTGCTTAAAATGCCACCTGATCCTAAATCTGGAGTTGTCTCTATTAAATTGTAAATGAGCACTTAAAAAAAAAAAAAAAGACTGAACTTTCTATGCAATGAAGCTTTAGTCCTTCCTCAGTGTATCTGAGCCTGGGTGATAGTTGGCATTATTAGGTTGCCAAAGCTTAACTGCTGCTCTTACTGCCTTTCCTGAGTTCCTGCCAGCATAGACCAGCTTAAGGTTAATCAGGTTCTCCTGGCCCAAGTTTGATCTTCCAGGCTTCTGTTTTCCCCTTCTGCTGCCTTCTTTTTTTTTTTTTTCTTGGTTATTTAATTTATTGCTTGTGAGCTTTTCATTAAGGAGTGAGCCAGTAGGCCGTCAGTTTATTATTCACATTGCAGCTGCTATACAAGATTTAAAAACGAAAATTCTGAAAACTTAAAGGTGGGGGGTGGTGTTTAAAATGATCTTTCAATCCAGTTAACAGAACACTTTTCCTTTCTTTGGGGTGTTTATATTTAAATTCTATGTCTAAAGCAAAATTTATCAATAGGTACCTTTTTAGTAAGTCATCCATATAACTATATTAATTAAAGCAACTCTATAGTACATGAAAACCATATCACATTTATAACCTGTGTAATATTATAAAGTATAATGCTTGTGGTTCAGACTGTGGTTCAGACTGTTATTATTTGGCCTAGCTATCAAATTACAATATACTTTATAATTTAGACTTAGTTAGGAAAATTAGAAAACAAAATTAGAAACAGTGCCAGGAATAGAGAAGCAGTTTTGTGGGATTTGTTTTCCTCCCAGTAATAAATTCATGATGTACTCCAAATGAGCAACTAAAAATTTACATCTAGAGAAAAATTTTTAAAGAACCACTCCCTGCAGCGTGCACACACACACACAAGATAACATAACTATATCAATGAAACTTTGCAAGACAGAGTAATATATCAACCATAATTGATCACCCTCTATATATTTTGTTGATTTTAAGAAAAAACAATTTTTCCTTGAAAGTAAAGCTTTGTCTCCCTGTGTGTTGAAGGTGGCTTTGGTCAGTCTGTATTTATGTTTTTCTTCAATTCTTCTAGAATGCAGAGCCAAGCCAGATGCAGATTCCAAAAGAAACGGTAAGAGCTTTGTCTTTTGCAGGATGCAGAGATGTTGGAAAGATAAATTGAACTAACTTCTTACTAATTAATTATGAAGTTACTTGTCCTCTCTTTTCCTGGCTCATAATAGATCCTACATAAATTTATTAAATCCTAAACTGGTCTTGCCTTAAGTGACTTATTGCTACTACCCCAAATGAAGAATATTTCATGATTATTTTTGATCAGACAGGGCTAAAAAATGGACATTAAAGACTCTCTTATTCACCTGTGTAATAAGAGAGACTAAAATTGGTGAGTTTTGTAATTTCATATACACACCCCCACACACATATATATATGACACATACATCTATATATGGAAAGTATTTTACGAGTTGTGAAGTGCTATATTATAACTGGCTACAAAAATGAAAAAAAGAAAAAAGAAAGCCCAAGTAAAAAAAATAGGGAGGACTATAAGGCATAAAAATGTGTCATAAATGGGAAAACTAAAATATGTCAGCAGTTAGACTAAACATATTGTCATAATAACATATTTAATAATTTTTAAAATTTATTATCAGTTATTATGACATTTTATATGGGACTAAAAATTCCCCTAACAGAAGTTAAGTTTTCACAGCTTTGATTAAAATGCAAAAATAGGTGTTTAGAAGACAAATCTTAATACAGGCTGAAAATAAAAGAAGAAGCAGGCAGTACTAACATAATGAAAGAGAACGAATTGCTATATTAGTTTCTAAGCTTATCTTCTTGTGTATGTGGATTCACTGCATGGGGGAGAAAGAGAGGGTGTTTTATGTTGACATATGATATCATCCAGTAGAAAATCTAACAGACAGGATATTTTATACATTAAACATCACAGCACAAAAACATGTCATTCTCAAACCCTTGTGAAGAAAATGGAAATTTGCAAAACCATATCTACAGTGGGTAATGCTAGTATGTATTTTTCCAAATTTGGCATGTTAGACAAATAATATAAGAATATGATGAATCTGAATGACATAGTAACACTAAATTATCATATTAAAATATGATATAACATAATTTAATTTTCATTGACACATTCATAGCCAGACAGCTTTGAACCTAATAAACAAGCAAAATATCATTTTCAAATATTCCATCATTACAAAAAATGTATGAATAATCAGACCTCAGAGAAAAGTCAGGAAACAACCTGGAGAATATTATACGTTTATAAGTATAGGTTGTAGGAAATTCATAGGCTCTATTTTTTATCCATTAAATCAATAGGTCTGTGATAGTTAATCAGAATCACAATGGTGTGTGTGTGTGTGTGGTTGTGGCTGGGGTAGTTTGAGGGAAAATCAGACACAGGTTAATTCTAAAGAATCAAGTAGGGCTTAAGAATGTCTTTTTTATTTCCTATTTTAACAAACAACAATGCTAGCAAAATGTACTATAAAGCTAAGCACTTGAAATAGCATGATGTTGTTGTAGGAACAGACAAGTAGATAATTTAAACACATTGATGATGGAAGCGGTCCCAGTGTTTACATGTGTGTGCATGTTTGTTAAAGGAGGCATTTCAAAATAGTGGTAAAGAGTGGTTTATTTAGTATTTAGAACAATTGGCCATTGATTTAAAAAATTTAGATTCCTTTTTATTCACCATAAAAAAATAAATCTCAATTGATTATGAAATTAAATCTAAAAACATACCAAAAAGAATTGAGGAAGTATGTGAAAAATTTCTGTGTTAAATTTGGCTAGTGAATGGTTGTCCTGGCATGACAAAGTCAAAATGTCCTAAGAGAGCAGATTGATGGGTTTGTTTATATGTATTTAAAAACTTGTATAGCAGTAACTGCACCATGAAAGAGTTGCAAGATCGATACTAAAAGCGGGAAGTATTTTGCAGTGTGTTTCTTGGGTGAAGAACCACTGTTTGGTGTTTGGAATCTTAATGTCATAGAACTTTTTTGGAAAAGTGAATGGCATCGCAAATAAACTATATCTGTTAATACCTAAGATGATCTGAGATGGAGAATGATGCCATAAGCAGTGAAGATAAGCGTGTTCTTTTGAAACATGTAAGCAGTCCTGGTGAGGAAATTGAGGATTAGCTCTGAAGTTTTCAATCACCACTGGGAGGAAGCAGCTTTGGCTTTAAAGATGATATTCCATAGAGAATGTCCAGGTGCCCTCTATTCTGCGCCGCACCCCCAACGCTTTTGTGGTCGTGATAGCATGCCAGAGTAAATGCCAGTTCAGGCACCTGAACAAGAGATGGTATGTGTGTATGTGAATCTGACTTGAGATTGCAAATGGAGATTGTTTCTGACAAGGGTTTTCCAAGCTAGGTAAAAAAAGGTAAAGTTTTTTTTTTTTTTTGGTCTAAATGTTTTCTTTTCGGTTTATTGTTCTTTCTTTGGTCGTCTCACACCTGGGTCTCTCTTTGTACTTTTGACAGGCAAAACCATTTTGGGCTGTTAAGGGTTTTATGTTAAAATTTCAGTTTATAAAAATTGGCTTTCAGGGTCTCTCTCTACCTTTTGGTGGCGTCTTAAATTCATTCACATAGTAAAGTTCTCTGACATTATATTTGTTAAACTTTCAGGTGATTGTAAGCACCTTGAGAATGGAATGCCTTAAAACCCAATTAGTTGATCACAATGACTCCCAGAACTGATTGTCTTAGAAATTGTAAGAAAGGTCATTTAGGTAGATGAGCCAAGCTGTACCAATGGCTGATTGACCTTTTAAATACCTGAGACTCGGGTTTCTTGTACATCTTCTAAATTTTGTTTTAATTAGCCAGAGTGTGTAGCTAGAAACCCTACTGAGTTTTAGGTTATCCATTCAAAATTGGACGAAAAGCTGAATTATTTAGCATAAGCTCAAGGTCACTTATTCCATGACTTGAACAAACTCCTTGCCTTTGGAAAGTTTATTCACTTGATAGTTTATTTTTGTGCTCATCCAGGTTGGACAAGATGATACATGTATGTATTAGCCAGGGTTCTCCAGAGAAACAGGACCAGTGGGATGTGTAGATAGTTATAGAGAGACTCATTATAAGGAATTGGTTTGTGTGATTATGAAGGCTGGGAAGCCTAAGTCTGTGGTGTGGGCCAGCAGAGACCTAGGAGAGTCCACAGCGTGGATGAAGTCCAGAGACAGTCTGCCTGAGAATCTCTCTTACTCAGGCAGGCCTGTCTTTCTGTTCTTTAACTGATTGGATGATGTGGACGGTAATCTGTTTTATTCAGATTCACAAATTTAAATGTTAATCTTATCAGAAAACACCTTCCAAGTGGACACAAAATTAAGCATCACAATGAAGTAGTGAGGTTGCCTACCGGCTATCAGGCCTTAATTTACCAAAGTGCCTATTTCTTCCTTGGGCTTCAAAGGACAGTGCAAAACTGCTTAGGAAGGCCCCCAAGAGCTCTTTCTAAGATCCATGTAAGAATATCATTGTATGTAAAACAAATTCAGAGCTACTGGATTTAAGTAGGGCTTTAGAAAACAATAGTTTTTAGAGATGATACTAGAGCATATAGATAAGATATGAAACATGCTTAAAGGTCAAAAATTTAACATGCATGGAATCTCCACTTGGGATCCCTTGCAGAGCCAGGGGAATCTCCCTGTAGAAGCTGCAGGGATACACTGAGGAAATTTGGGGATAAGCTAACTGATAGGTTATAATCTTGATCTGGAAAATTTAATGAGCTAATCAGTCTAAGTCTGGCCCTAGGCTTATTAAAGTAATGGTTGTGGTAGATCAAGTAGAGCCTACCATGTAAAGTAAGAAAACGAGCCCATTTATAATAGGATCTCCCCCCCACCCCAAATACTTAGGAATAAATTTAACCAAGGAGATGAAAGACCTGCACACTGACAGAGATAAGAATGGTTGGCTGGAGGATCAGGAGAGTGTGGGAAAGGAGATACTGGTCAGAGAGTATAAACTTCTACTAGTTATAGGACGAGTGAATTCTGGAGATCTAATGTAGAGCATGGTGATTATAGCTAATAATACTGTGTTGTATACTCAAAAATTGCTAAGACAGTAGATCTTAAATGTTCTCACCACAAAAAAATATAGTTTTGTGAGGTGATGGAGGTGTGTTAGCTAAACTATGGTGTTGATTGTTTTGCAATATATAAATGTACCTAATGAACACTTTGTACATCCTAAACTTACACAGTGTTATATGTCAAATATATCTCAAGAAAGCTGGGGAGAAAATAGTCCAAAGTAAGACAAAGCACATAGCGGGCCTAATGGGGGGTTGAATTATGGGTTGGTACTTCTTCATTCAAAGCCTTGTATAAATTCTTTGGGATAAACTGATCATCAAATATTTCTGATCATCAAACTTGGGCTCTCCTGGCTAACACTGATGGAAGAATACAAAATTCTCTAATTTGAGTTTTTGTTGAAGATTTCTGCTATCATGCATTAATCATATGTTAACCTAATCATATGTTAAACTAATCATAATAGTTTGGCTTTGACAATCAAATGCTGCTATTATCACAAAGAATTTTATAAAATATGTGGTATTTCTAGTGCTTTAAGTACTCAAGCTTAAAGTCATGATTCAGTGAAAAACTTTTCAATTCAAATGATTCAAACATCCTTTAAAACAATCTTATTCCAAGATTGGGATAGAATGATATTTTCATGATCTTACAAAAATAGTAATGATTTTGTATAATAAATCTGTATCCATTTTTAGGGGATTCATTTGAAATTCCCTACTTTCACTAAAGTAAGTTAAAGGTTTCCTAATGTTTGGTGTATTTTCCCTTGGGAAATATATCTTAGTTATTTTTTATTGTCTTCCTTTAATGGTAGAGTGATAAAAATTATTTTTAAAATATATTCTGTGTTTTGTTTTTGCTATTGAACTCACATCATTTTAAAGATTATATTGGTAGTAATGTCTGTATTAAAAATAAGGACCTTTTTAGATATAGCAATACTATTCTGGATTAATTACTATGTGTAATTTTTATTCTGAAGCATCATTCTTTCAGAAAAGTTTCAAGAATAGCCTGAGGAGCTCCAGTATATTTGTCTTTTTGTTAATATTTAACCACATTTGACATGTAATTTTCTTCCATTCTTCCCTCTCTCTCCCTCTAATATCTCCATCTTTCCTTTCCACTATATAATTTTTTTCAGAATTGAGAAAAATTATAGACATAATTCCCCTTCATCTGTAAACCTTTCAGTGTGTGTATCCTAAAGAATGACATTTTCGCATGTAGCTAGGTTATAGTCATCAAAGCCATGAAGTCAACATTGACTTAACAGTGTTGTATTACCTGTTGTCTCAGTTAGCGTCCTTCATGGTGTGCAGACGTGAACAAACGAATGAATACATATGCATCAAACTGTGGTCCAGTTTCCACTGTACAATCACCCCTGGCATCTAGTTGTCATGTCTCTTTAGTCTTTCTTAATCCAGAGCATTTCTTCTGTTTATCTTTGGTTTTCATTTTTGAAGAGCAAATTACTTTGAGAATGTCCCTCAATTTGGGCTTTTGGGGATTTCTTTGAGAAATGATTTTTCTTGCTTCACATTACAGATTAACAACTGTAATGTAACAACTGTAAAAAAAAAAAAAAGCCTTTAATTTCCCCTCCTCAGTATTTGTAGCATCAAGCAAAACATTAAAAAAATTTTTTAATGTTATTTATTTTAGATCTACTGTTTGAATTAGAAAAGAGCACATAAAACCAGATGTGACATTTTAACTTTGCTAATAAGAGTAATTAACCTTAAAATATCAGCACAAATATCAGCATAAACATTCATCTTGCATATGGGATAAAATAAAATCTATAGCTTAAACTGTAGGGTTATTCCTTTATGCAAAAAATATAAACACAGTACCATCTCTTACTTTAAAAAATCTTGCTCTTGATTAAAACTGTAAATGGTTATTATTATTTGTCTGCTATACTTGCATATTATTTAAACTCTAGATGTTGAGTTAGTGTATTCTGTCTTTAACTTGTATGAAAACTCAAGTTAGGCATGAGAATATGATGCTGTACTTATTTTGTAAGATCCATCATAAAGTTTTCAGCCCTACCTGTCTTCCCCATCCTATTGCTAATCCCTGCCCAATGGTCATGTTTTGGCCACATAATATAGTCAACTGCTACTTCCTTGCTACCAAGTTTGCAGATTAACTGCAGGCTGAGAGTGGCCTGTGGGCCAGCTGTGTCCCCTCAGCTATTGGGACTGTTGTTTGGGGTAGAAAGGAAAGCTAGGCTTTAGTGCAGATCACTTGTGACTATTTTTCTGTCTCGCTGCACATATGTGTGCATCTTTTCTGCCATCTGAGGATTAGTGGGAAAAATAGTCTTCATACTGCCTATGCTTTAAGTTTCCTGTTTCTAGTATGCTTAGCAAAAATGCTCTTTTTTTCTGGACATTTGAAGGCAAAAATGCCTATGGAATAATGGCTAAGGGAAAACACGCTAGATTGTATGGATAGAAAAAAATCACACGTGTGCATATGAGGGACCTGATGTGTATTTGAGGGACATGATGTGCATTTGAGTGACATGCATGTCCAAATGGCTTAAGGAGCAAATTAAAGGGAAACAAAATATTTATTGTGTTTCTTTAGGAAAAAACTTGACTCAAGAAACAGTTGATACAGTACAGAATCTGGATGGAGTAACAATTAAAGATGATAGAAAATTAGCTTCTCCTTGTATCAGAATGAAGAGATCCCCATACTAGTAAGATTTTTGGAAAAATTCTCTGTAAAGTAGACTTTGAAATAGTTTTTGAAGAGCAAATTTTTTAAAAACATTTTGCTGCCGGAGAATTAAGTTCTAAAAGCTGGCATTAATTTCAGTCTTATGTCAAGAGCGAAATGGATTAATAATACTGTATCAAATGAAAAGTACAATCTCTCACTTAAATGTTTTTAATGACAAGAATGCCTTAAGACTCGATAAGAAAGCTGGAAAAGAGTATTACTCCCATCCTGCAGTTTTCATAAGAAATGAAACTTTTCCATGGAGAATACAGTCTCCTTTAAAACAGGTTCAGAGCAGGGCAACATGTCAGGAAGTGATTTGAACTTGATTAAAATTTCTGTTCACGTATTCAGTCAGCTCCTTATCTTGATTTTTCGAGTAGAAGAAAAATGAAAATTTTAAGTCTTAGTAGAACATTATGGAAATGTCAATATAAGTAAACATTAAAAAGTCAAACTGAAGCTACAAATCAGTAAGTGATAATTAAGAACCTTCCAGATTTGAGGCAGATAAAGGTACTGAATGATGAGACTTAAAAATGCCCTGGTAAGGGACTGTCTTTGGTTTCTGTGACTTTTTTTTTTAAATTAATTAATTAATTTTACTTTACAACATTGTATTGGTTTTTCGAATGCAATTTTCCCAGGAATATAAGTACTGGTTCTGATTCACAAAGTGAATTTTATCTTTCAGTTTCCTCTGAATTTAAAGCAGAAGGGCTGTATTGTGTTCTGATACTATTTTGTATTTCAAACTTCAGAAACATTTTATATTAAGGTAGCTATGTTCATTCATGCAAGGTTTTTATTTATGCTCTCCAATCGCTTTGAACCATATGGATGAAAATAAAATTTATAGAGCAAAACAAATATATAAAGATACTTTTGCATAGTAAATATGATGTCAGTATTTTAATAGAGTGTTTAATGTTTATTTTTCCCCAATCCATTGATTTTATTTGAGCTGTAATTATTCTCTGGGAATATTTTAAATGTAAGAAGGCTTTTATAATGCACAGGCATAGGATTTATTTTGATTCTGGTACTTTGTATAGTTAACATACTATCCCTCTGTATCTTTTCAAGTTCTTTTAAAAATATTCTTTATTATATGATTTTCCTATTTTTAACATATTAGAGTTTTTTTTTAAACATACCTTGTCCTGATAACTTTGAGGCTATCTTTTCAGATGGCACAGAGAATGTTAGCATTTAATATTAGTAAGTTAGAAACAACAAAAAAACCACACATTATTGTGGATTTGGATAACGTACCTTTTGTATTATGATAATCTAAAAAAAAAGACTCTTACTGATAAACTCTATACTTCCAAAAATTATTTCATCTGATTGAGGTATCTCAGATTGGATGTTAACTTTCTAAATGCCTTTTAAAAATTATTTTATATTATTATGTTAATTTTTATAATTATTAGAAAATTTTAAAAAATCTGTTGAGATGCAAAGAAAAAAGCTGAAGTCTACCCACAGTTTCAGTGCTCAGCAGTAGGCTTACACATGTGTAACCGAACATTTCTTAAGAGTGCAATCTTCAAAGCATGCCTTATAGTCCAATCTCATTAAGTACCATTGGATGTTTAACCATTCTTCAAGCGTATTTTGATAATCTCAGTATTTTGATAATACTGGAGAAATATTCCAAAAGTGCGAAAAGAGAAGGAAGAAAACTTGTAAGACTAGATGAGGCATTTAGTTGTGATTCAAAGAACTTGTGCCCCATGTCTATTTTGTGGTTGGAAATGCTGAACTTGATAAAGAATTTGGGCCTCGCCTATTTGGAGATGGCCCGCATAGAGTTGGGAACACTACCAAGGATTACAGAAGGCAGAGGACATCCTCTTCCGGTGTCCAGTATACTTACCTGTCATCACACTGCGTCTCATCAGGTTATACCTGAAGCATTCACTTGCTCCTTGCTTTTTGGGAGGAGCTGGGCAAAAGTTTGTGCATCTCAAATGTGTTGGGTTCTGCCGCAGTCTCCTTATGCACTTGATGTCTACTATTATGAAATCAAGGTCGGCATATACAGCTCTTTAATTGAACAGTATTGCTTGAATAATATCCACCAGCTGTAGTATGTGTCATACAGTACTGTGGAAAAAAGAATGTCTCCAAAGTTATTTATCTCTACTTTGTCTCACAAATGTTGAAGGTTAAAACTCTCCAGCAACTCTCTGAAAATGAACCCCTGTTTCTGCTGACTTTGTGTCATCAGGATTTGTTGTTGTTTGAGAATGAAATGATACACCCTAATGAACATTAAGCCATTAATAACATTGAAAATTCCTAGTGAAAAACAAAGGGACAAATGAGTTATATTTATTTATTTTGATTTCCTGCTGTTTCTGTTTTTCTCCTGTGGTTTAGAACATATAAACAAATGAAAACCCCCCACCGAAAACAAAAACAAACCAAAACTCTAAGGGTCTACATGTCTTTAGTCCTTCTGCTACATTTTTTCTCCTAAATTTCTCAGACTCTGATTTAGGTTTGTTTCAATATTGAAATAAGTGTCACAGAAAAATATTAGCATCTGGCTCCAGGAATCATCTGGAAGGGGTGCAGTATGCACTGTTATCATGGATCCTGTTGTGGAACTTCTGTGGAAATACGGTGCCTGTTATAATTAAAGAACTGCTCATTAGCAGTCCTTCAAAAAACAGAAACATTGGAATATAACTGTGCAATTTTGTTTCCTGTCAGAAAGCAGAAGATGAGGATACCGTTCTCACACCCGACGGCACCCGGGAATTTCTGACGTTTGAAGTTCCGCTGAATGATTCAGGATCTGCTGGTCTTGGCGTCAGTGTCAAAGGTAACCGGTCGAAAGAGAACCACGCAGATTTGGGAATCTTCGTCAAGTCCATTATTAATGGAGGAGCAGCATCGAAGGTAAGCCAGTGTCAGTCTTATCAAGCTTGTGCGCACTCACGAATGTTTAATTTATAGCCCCATTCCTTGGAAACATTTAAATGGTTGGGGTGAAATCATTCCTCTTCCCTATTTATGTTTGTTTCTGTGGCCTGTGAAGTAAACTGACAGAAAACAGGTTAATAGGAGAAAAAGTTAACAAATTTTACTGATGGTAAAATTTTCAATTTTATGTGTATGGGGGCTCCCCAGGAAGAAGTGAAAACCTAAAACCTAAGGAAGCAGTTAGATTTAGAAGCTTGTATACCATTTTAGCAAATGGTGACAAATTGTAGAGTAGGGATTAGACAAAGAGACAGTTTGGGCTTCCAGGGGCAGTCAATTGTGGGGTGGTAAACCTCTGAAGGAAACCCGTGGAAGAAAAGTCTCCTTTTATAAGGTTTGTTTCTGAAGACGCATCTGTTAGTCTCTGTCTCTGGTGTGAGGGTCGTTCTCCACTTGCAGGTTAGAGAGAAGAGAACCGGCACCTTCACAAGGGGGACCTTCTACCCTGGGTTCAGCCAGAGGCAGGGAGGACACAGCCTTCTCTCCGTGTCTGACATTTCTCACTTGCCTTCTGCTGAGAATAATCCCTATGTCAAAGTGGTGTGTTTTGGGATGGTGTATTCTGATCCCCTGTAACACTTAAATATTTTCTGGGTTTTTGTCTAATACCCCAAACAGGATCAAACAACTAGTGAAATCTCAGTGATGTTTCCTTTGGGGATGCAAGTCTTATCTTCAGCTCCTCATTTTTGATCTCCGAGTTCACAGCCCATATTCATGCCAGTGAAATGAAGATTATCTTTGCAGAGATTTAGCTCAGGTTCTGGCACAGACCTGCCTGACAGGAAAGGTTAATCCCTCCCTCTTCTCTCCCCTCCCCTCTCTTGGGTCACTTCTGTTTCCCAGAGGAGAGAAAATGTCCTGGCTGGCTGTTGAGGGCTGCTCCTCTTCCCTGCAATTGTCTAATAGCCTGGAGCTTTTGCACGTCTTGGGTTGTAAATAACCTCTCTGGGTGTCTGTGGAAGCAGGAAAGTAATCACTTTGTGTCCTTTGAATTAGTATGCTATTTTGGTAAATAGATTATGATAATGACTTGATTTACAAATGTATAAATGATTGAAGTAGACACAGGCTGCAAGGGCTGCTTACACATTATTATGCTAGTGTTCAATTGGGCATAATCCATTAGTATTAAAGTGTCCCCCCTCCCCTTTTTTTTGCTTTTTTGCTTTGTTTTCATTTTATTTTTTTAACAAAGGGGAAAGCAGCTTCTTTTATCACAGATTATTTAATGGCACTTATTTTTACCTGCTTCCTTCCCAGGATGGGAGGCTTCGGGTTAATGATCAACTGATAGCAGTGAATGGAGAATCCCTGTTGGGCAAGACAAACCAGGATGCCATGGAAACCCTCCGGAGGTCCATGTCCACTGAAGGGAACAAGCGAGGAATGATCCAGCTCATTGTGGCGAGGAGAATAAGCAAATGCACTGAGGTAAAGAATGAGAAAGACAGAAGGCATCTGAGGTGGCCGTAGTACCAAGTTCTGTCCTAACACTGAACAAAGAATTACAGGTCCCTGGGCTTTACCTCAAAAGATTCTCAATTATCTCTGGTAGCTAGAGTTTATTTCATTGTCATTAGATTGTGATTTATTTTCTTAATTCTGTGATCAAAATATTCCTGATCATGCAGTAATATTTCTATTGCCACCTCAACAGTTAATGCCAGGATTTGGAAGGCACCTTTATTTAGCTGGGTTCACACCTTGAAAACAAAGCCACACATTCCTGCTCAGAGTCCAGTTTCTCTTCTGTTCATCAGTGTTGATCCAGGAGGGAAAAACATCAATGCAACAATTGCTTGATCCCTTGCTTATCTAGTCTGGGTGCCTTGCAAAGTCCCTCAAGGGGGAGAGTCTGTTTCTCTTGTCATGTGGTCAGAAATGGAAGCCTGCCTTCCCACTCCTGACCCGCTTCATCCTTTACTGTAGGGCTGGGCATTTTCCTCTGAAGAACCTGCTTTTCAGTGATATCTGCTGCATGAAACCATGGTGGATTCTGCACCTGTGCTCTGTCTAACCAGGTGTGAGTGGGAAGGTTTTCTTTCCTGAAGGACGTGAGCTTTTGTTTTCCCAAATAGCAAAAACATACCAAGTAGAAACATACTACTTATTTTTCAATAGCAGAGCATTTGAAAATTTAAAGGGAATTAAATATAGATTTGTTAATGAATATTAGAACCTGAAAAAAAAAACCACGTTTTTTTAAAGACATTTTATGAAGTATGTGCCATCTATAGGAAAGAGGTAGAACCTGCTTTCTGAAAGTATTGTTTATTGTTTTTCTTTTTATTGATGTTCAGAAAATGTTTAGCAAATTGCACAAACTGGAAAGTATACCTAACCTGCTTAGATGTTTTTCTTAATTTTAAAATTAAGAAATATATATTTATGTGTTAAATATATAAAGAAAGTTTTTCAGGTCATGATGATGGCTCATCCAATCCATTAATATAACTGGATTTTACAACATACCTTTGAGCTCAGGGGGTAGTCAGTGGAGAGGCGACCAATTTTTGAAACATTATTGACCATAGACTGACTTTTACATTTTCATTTTCCAAATGAAGAATGACTTAATGCTAATTAACAAATTAATTTCCACAACAGCAGGAGAAGAGTGTCACCTTAACTAGAAACCTCAGAGTGGAAAACTGTGAAAAGTAAAACATTTGCTTTCTTATGATAAACATAAATGCTAGTCCCTCAGACTAGGCTACTGGATTGATTTTCTTGAATGATAATTTTTATTGGTTTCCAAATCATTCACTGATGTTTTAAATGTAAGTCTGTAACGTGCCATCTCCACAGTTAGTTCACAAGACACATTGTTCTTTATTAGGTCTTTTTCAAAAATGGAAGAATTTCATTTCCCCTAAGACTGTATTCATTAGACAGATGGTCATTGAGAAAATGTGTTAGATCCTGGGGGTATAGCGGTGAGTAAAAACACTGGGGGACTTCCCTGGTGGTCCAGTCACTGAGACTCCAATCTCCCAGTGCAGGGGGTCTGGGTTTGATTCCTGGTCAGGGAACTAGATCCCACATGCCGCAACTAAGACCCGGTGCAAATAAAAAACAAACAAAAAGAACAGATGGGGGTTCCATCCCTGGATGTTCTCCTGGACAATATATCATATTCTTATCACCTTCTCAAAGTTTTCCTTCAGAGAAAAGCATTGAAATATTATATGGGCACTTAGACTGTAAGAAACAGACCCCAGGTCAGCGTCCTGAATCTAGCCACGCTTTCATTTGGTTCAGGTGATTCCCTCTTGTTCCCCAGACAAACCTGTACCAGCCTGAAAATGCTTTGATCCCCTGTTGCCCTATGAGATGCATGGAATTGAAATCCCACCACAATATCTTTGTGTCTCATTCACTTCTGCATATGAATTTATGTGAATGAAAATGATTTAAATAAAGGAACAGCGGCAGTAGGCAGTAATAGACTTTAATATTCAATATTCTTTATGGTATCACTTTCATACATTGCTGGTTATTACTATTTCTTAGGATAGAGTAAGCTTATAAAGCAATTAGATAAAAAAAAAATCTTATCACAAGTGCTGTGCTGTCTTTGTAATACCAGTGAAAAGCCTTTTGTACTGTCAGGATTTAACTAAAGAATTATATGAAGACAGAGAGCTCATTTCAGCTTCCCATAAGTCTTAAGACATGATTTTGCTGCTGTTGTACTTATATTATATATTACCTTTGGAGAAACATCTCCTTGAATTACCGAGAGGGTATGTGTGAATTATGTTACCGTAAATATTGATGTAACCAGAGCATGTCTTGTCATGCATGGACCTCATACCAGAATAATGTGCTAAGTTCCCTCCTTCTGGGTCTATCCGTCAGCTGTGTAGTCCAGCCTTGGACGGTATCACAGAACTTTATTTCACTGACTCATCTTTAAATCAAGGGTTTGCATACTTAATTTCAAGCTAAAGAAGATGAAAATTTGCCAAAAGCTCATCTTTTGTGCTTTGTCACATCTTTCCCTGCCCTCTCTTATATGTGGGAAGTGCTGTATGTTATCTCAATATGTTTTCTTTAAAAATCAGCAACTGGGGAATTTCCTAGGAGTCTTGTGATTAAAATTCAGGGCTTCCAAAGCAGGCGGTGCAGGTTTGATCCTTGGTCAGGGAACTAAGGTCCCACATTCTGTGTGGTATGGCCCCCTCCCCCCCCCAAAAGGCAACTCTTTGCACTAGGTACCTCTTCCCCTGCACTTCTCTGTTCTTTGTGTCCATACAGCACATTCGAGACATTTTCTAGAAGATGTTTCTCAGTCTGTTCCTCTTGACTTCTCAGGAGTCTGTGAATGCTGCCTTGTTCTTGAATCCTTTCCTGTCAGTTCTCTCCATTTTTCTCCTACTTCAGTCTGGCCCTTCTGTCTCCTCCAAGGTTGCTCTCTTCTGCCTGTCCCTTTATTGGTTAGTATTCTTCACGGCATTTCCTCGGCTGTGTCTTCTGCACACGCTCCCTGGGAGACCTTTGTTCCCTGGTGTTCGGGTGCTGCGTTCGTTGTGATGAATCCTGTGACCATGTTAGCATCTCAGGGCCCTACTCTAGTTCCAGATCCCCCTCTTCAGTGGGGACGTCTACTGGTGTGTCTCTTAGAGGCACCTGTGCTTTTTTCTCCTTGAGTTCCTCTTCGAGTTCTTTATCTACCTTTGTCCTTCCCTGAAGAAATAGCTGCACTGGTTCTTCAGTTGTAGAAGCTGGAAATCTGGGGTGACTCTGACCTCTCAGCTGCCTTTCTTGTCTCCTCTGGAATCTCCTCCCCCCTCTCCTGCATCCCCTGCAGTTGCCCCGTCACCTAGCAGGGCTCTGTGTTGCAGCTCCCTGGAGGATTTCCCCCTCAACTTGTTTTGTTTACACTGCAGTAAAGCCCGTCTTCCCTCAAAGCAAGCTGATCCTGTTCTATATATCAAAAACTGTAAAATACTTTGGGATGAATTGAACAATGCAGGTAGTCTCTGTACTCGTAATTCTATAAAACATTGCTGAAGAATTAAGTTAGATCGAAATTAGTAGAGTGATACATGATTAGAAGATTCAGTATCATTGAAGTATCAGTTTTCTCAAATTGCCTATAGATTTAATAAGCTCTTGTTAATCATCCCAGCAAGCATTTTTATAGCTATGAATGTGCTGATATCAATTGGGATTATTAATTTTTTATACTGTTATTATTATTATTAACATTATTTAATTTATATGAAAATCTAGAACTGGGAAAACTAGGGTGAAAATATCATTGGTTGCTTTTGAGCAAGTTGGGACTGAGTGGGAAATAATAGGGAGGAATTTAATAAGGTAATGGGAATGCGCTTTATCCAAAGAGAGGTGTATGTTACATGGATTTATCAATTTGTCAAAACTCACTGAGCTGACCAAGGACTACTTTAAAATGAATTCTCTCTCTCAGTTTAATCCTCTTAGAATTAGAAAGCTATATTAGAACAGAAAGGAGCCAAAGGTATTATTTATGATTCTCTTTATGTGTGAAGAAATATGGAGGTCACACCTCCGTGTGACCACAGGGAGGTCAAATGATGTGCTTAATGCCGGCAAGTGATGTAAGAAATTGAGAAGCAAGGTGTCCATCCTTTAGGCACATGAGAGGGTCTGATGCCATGTGCCTTGTTTGGGCAGTTGATACTCTGTCTGTGTTGGGAAGTGTGGACAGTAACCCTGAGTCAGGTAGGCCCTCTGTTCTGCGTCTGCCACGTCCAGGCTTACTTTACACTCTGGTCCTTGCTGTCGACCACAAGGAGACGTGAAGGACATTAGCAATGGTTCTTTGTAAAAGCAGAACCCGGAATTGCTCCCTGAAACTCTGGTCACTCTTTTCCAAAGTTAAACCCCATCTTTTTATCCACTGTTTTGTGTTAACTTGTCCTTTGGATATTAGTATTGAGTTGGCCAAGAAGTTCGTTTGGGTTTTTCTTTTAGGTGGTATGGAAAACCTGAATGGACTTTTTGACCAAACCAGTACTTTCTACAGTGTGTGATTTTTATTTATTTATTTTTTTCTTCTCATTTTATTTATTTATTTTTTTCATTTATTTTTATTAGTTGGAGGCTAATTACTTTACAATATTATAGTGGTTTTTGCCATACATTGACATGAATCAGCCATGGATTTACATGTATTCCCCATCCCGATCCCCCCTCCCACCTCCCTCTCCACCCAATCCCTCTGAGTCTTCCCAGTGCACCAGGCCCGAGCACTTGTCTCATGTGTGTGATTTTTAATCTTGATCAACTTTCTTTTACTCCTCGTGTTGTGCTGTGTCCTCAGCTTTAAGGGCCTGCTTCCACATGGCCTATATATATGATATCTCTAAACCATTTTAAGGAAACTCTTGAGTCATTCACTCAGAAATGAATTTATTCATCCAATTATTCACCCAGTGCCTGCTCTGTGCCAGGAATTGGGGATAAAATAGAATAAGCTTATAAAGACTGAAATATCAGATAATGAGACTGTGCCAATTACTAACTCGGACCCAGTTTTAGGCTTGCTGAAGGGGATTAGGGCAGTATCTGTGCCAGCTTTTCACTGTTTATAGTTGAGATGGTAGGATACATTCTCTTTATGGGAAAGACATGATTTGACCTGCTAACACACACTTAAAACAACATGAGATTTTACAAAGCCCTATAGATTTTGTATTCGTTTTTAAAAAGAAACCAATCTTTTACCTTTTCCCAGGAAGAGTAGGCCAAGTGTATAATATAAAGCATATTCGTTGGACAATATCCAGCTTTTTGTTATTAAATAGAACTTATTATTTTCTGATTATAAAAGCCACATATGATCATTTGAATATCTTTTTTAAGAGAATGCTGTATTTCCATTGTTTTTAGGTATGGGGTAATTCCCAATGTTTATGCCTTCGTAAATGAAGTTCTGATAAATATTGATTGGCATGAATCTTTGTTATTCACTTAGCTTCTTACTTTGTGAGGATAGCAACTGGAAAATGAAATAAATGGACTGGTCAAAGTGTATAGGATATTTCTTGGCCCATGACGTGCACTTGCACATTCCTTAGGGAAAAGACTGTATCACTTCATGCTGATCTCCAGTATAGGTTTTCTTGTTGCAGCCTAGGGCTGAATTCTCTTTAATGGGTGAAAAGGCGTTCCTATTTTCCTAGCACTGGAGTTGATGGGGTCCCAAACTTCTGCTCCCACTTGGGACTGAATTCTGTTGCATGGAAGAACATTTTTTTTGCAGCTGAAAAGACAAAGTGAAAATTTCAGTCCTTTTATTTTGGTGTCCTCTTCGAATTAAGCTTAATGTGATAAGGTTTTCATATAAGGAAAATATATGGTCTGTCTGGGAGCAGACCATACTGCAGGAAGGCCACTCACTCTTCTAGGACCACCTTACTTGGAGTGGCCACTCCCACACTCTGATGTGATACACTCTTCTTTCTTAAACTCTTTTGCTTGCAACAACAAAAAGAATCATCAAAAGATTTAAAACAAAGCTCTCTACTTCATTTTTTTTAAAGAAATTAAAAGGCATTGTATCTTCTGTTAAATATTTATGTAGGAGGCCATTGATGTCTTCATTTAAATCTGTCTTTTGAGATGCAAATTAGACACAGGAAGGTGGGGAGGTGCAGATGCTTTCCCAGGAAAGTGCTCAAGTATGACTTTCCTAATGAACAGGCATCTTATTGTTTTTCTCTGGAAAGCCTGCGTATACCATTCTTTAAATGGAATTTTTATTTGACTTTATAAAATTCTTAAATAGCCTCTTGGGATATTTAGGGGTTTCTCATAAAGGTGCTTTATAAAGAGTTTATCATCTAAAAAATTGCAGTTATGTAGTTCAATTAAATGTATTTGTTAAGCAAACTCAAGGATGTGTTGTCTGTCTTATGATAAAATTAATTATTGTGTAGGATACAGGTTTTCCATGTTGAGACTTGTATAGTGAGTCTCTTTAATATATGTGCTCATTAGAAATACTCATGCATGTCTATTTTTAAAGACATCAGATATTTCCTGTGTTTATTTTTGTTTTTACCCCCCAGAATCCCTTGGAGTTATGGCATCGTGTCCTTTCAGAAAATATTCTTTTATTTTTTTATATCCGAGACCTTGAGTATTTAATTTTCTTTTCAGTAAAGCTGTCGGTTGTAATCTGCAATTAAAAAAGAAAAAAACTAATAAAACAAATCCTCATTTCACAATTTAAACCTTATTGAGTCTAATTCACCAGCACTGCACGTTTATTATTCTCCTGCAGTTTGACGTGCCTCCAGTTGTAATTGTGTTGACCCTTCAATGCATTAAATCTCCCCAGTGCTTATCAAACTGGGCGAGATAAGTCTACAATTTGGAACTTCATTAAATATCTCATTTATATTAAACAGATGATAGCTTCTAACAGAAATAAGAATTTGTTCCAATGGAGAAGCCACAGTTGTGGTTTCCTCCGTGTTTGGAATGTGCTGTGTTTGCTTTGCTGTGCTGTAGCCCCTGCCTCCCCGCTGTCCCCACTACCTGAGTCCTCCCTGCCTCTGCTGTAGGCCTTTGCCGAAGCATCAGGTGGGGTTAACCTTGGAGCCCCCACTGGGAGGATTTGTATTTATATGTTCTGTTCCCTATTGTTTCATGGCCTTACTAGCATATATTTCTCTCTCCTATTAATTTATGAAGTTCATAACTTATAAGGCACAGCTGTTATGCCACTCACTATTTTAATTCTCGGTGATGGGAATCAACCTATATTCTCCACTTATCTAGCAGATTGTATGTTTGTGAAATAGGCATCTTTGCCTGCTTCATTAGAATACTTGATCTTTACTTCTGTATTGTCAATATCCTATATAGCTTTTTGTTGTTGTTGTTGTTTTTAAGCCTTTATTGAATTTGTGACAGTATTACTTTTGTTTTATGTTTTGGATTTTTTTGGCCATGAGTCATGTGGGATCTTTGTTCCTCAACCAGCGATTGAACCCAAACCCCCTGCATTGGAAGGCAAAATCTTAACCACTGGGCCACCAGCGAGGTCCCTATCCTATATGGTTTATTTTCTCTCATACTTAGGATCACAATGAGAGAATAGGATGTTCGTTTCTAATTTCAGCAGAAAAAATGGAGGCTCAGTGTGTTGTTGAAGACACCTGAGCTAACAAGTGGCCTTTAGGTCTTGACAAAGTGTAGGTGGTCATTCTCCCCTGCACACGCATCATGGTGTGCTAATGGTTAGCTGTATTACACACTCTAAGTGTAAAAAGCAGAGTTAAATTTCAGCTTCCATTCTGATGATGATAAAGCATGTGTTGCACAGGGCAGCATGTCATAAAGAATTCTGAATTAAACCATAACTTAAATTGACTTCAACAGATACTTAACCGTCAAACTGAAAAAATAAGCAACAAATAAGCTTGGAAAAAGCCTTTAATATACATATTTTTCCTCTAGTGCTTGAAATCTGACAGAACTTCATGGGAGGCACAGTGTAAAGTGGCACAGAAAGTTGGTCATGAGGCCGAGCTGTCACCACAAATTATTTTGGTACAGGGGGAAAAGTTCTAGTTCATTTGGTACTCAGTTGGATGCAGGCCTTGGGCAAGTTGTTATAATTCCCCCATGCTGCTCCCGGGCCCCCACTTCTGACTTGGCCTTTCTCCATCTTTCCCGCAGCCGAAGTCGCCTGGGAGCCCCTCTGGACCCGAGCTGCCCATTGAAACGGTGTTGGATGATAGAGAACGACGGATTTCCCATTCCCTCTACAGCGGGCTCGAGGGTCTTGATGAATCACCCACAAGAAATGCTGCGCTCAGTAGGATAATGGGTGAGTCAGGTACAGCCCTGTTGGCCCCATCTTATTTTTATGCTTTTACTGGTTCACGGAGAGGTTATTAATGTAATATTAATGTAAAGGAGTCCCGTGTTTTCAAGAGGAAAAGGAACAGGTTCGTTATGATCATTCAGGAAGTGTTAATGCCAAGAGAGGCAATCAGTGCATCGATTTTGTTAAGTGAGGTTTAGATCCTATAACACGTGGGGAAGGAGAAAAAGAAGGGGATCACACAGAAGTGCTTTCCAGTGATCAAGATATTCTTAGTGTGTCTGAGATGTTAAATGAAGCCGTGTTTTGTTTTTTGTTTTTTAATCAAAATTTAGAGGTTTATGGCAAGATTTCAAAGTCATATTTTTATAATAGCATTGTTTACAGGGAGAGGAAAAAATACGTAGATATGTGTATATGAAGTATTCACATTTTGTGGTTGTTATGGACTAAAGTGTTACCCTGTTTTAATTACACCTCGACTTTTTCAAAGGCTTCATTTGAAAACCCTGAAACCAGTGTTTTGCGTCCTTTGTCTGCATTCAGCACCATTCTGTCTGCGTGCCCCCAGTGGGCAATGAGGTTATTAGCGCTTGCTCTGCGGCTTTTCAGGTCTCTGCTAACAGACCCGGTTAATAAAGACTTGCTCTGCCACCAGAGTGGTTGGATTTACTGAGTTGCTCATCTTGGGATTAGCTTGTGAGAGTTGTCAAATTTAAAATGTAAGAAGCTGTTTTGATTAAAATGGCACGTGACCTAAAATGCTTTGATTGCTGGTGTGTTTTGCAAGCCTCTAATACAAAGTACAAGCCTAAATTTTACTCCATTCGCAGCACATTTAATGGAGATTGAATATAGTCCATGTCTCCATTAGGAAGTTTCATTGGGACAGGAATTTGTTTCCTTCATCAGTGTATGTTTATGGAAAGCCTGCTGTTGGCAAGACACTGTATTTACTTTTGCTGTAGATGCAAAGAGGAGTGAGAAACAGTCTGCCTTCAAAGAACTTTCTACCAGGCATGATCAGAAAAATACATGAACATGACTAGTAGAATTTTCTGTTGTTCTTCCTCTAATCCTTCCAGCTTTCTTATTTGGATATACTGCTAAATTCCCCATTTCTTATGTTATTACATGTAGAATAAAGACATGCCAGCTCTCTGGTTTAATTCTGTCAACATTTTTGTTTGATCTTCTTGGTGTATTGTGAGCAGGGGAAGAGTGCCAAAGGTATTGCACACCTGTCAGACTACAGGCATTGCACATGGTGTGTTAGAGTAGCCTTCATTTATTAAAAATCGCTCTCCTCACTGCTGTGAGCTTTTCCCTACTTTCCCAGTTTTGGTGTGTCACTGAATCTTCATTAAACACTTTTTTTATTGTTGAAAATTCAGACCTCTTAAGAGAGAAAGAGAGTATATGTGTCCCTGGATCTGTATGCATACAAAGTGATTCGCTGTAATTTCCCCTTTATTATAGGAACATAGGACTTGCCATACTGAATCAGACCATTGGTCCACCAGTTCCTGTAACCTGCATCCTGCCTCCAACCCCTGATGCTTCAGAGGAAGGCGAAAAACTAAAACTAAAAAACAAACCAAAAGCCCCAAACTCACCTAGTGACTTTTGGAAATGCTGTATATATGGGTTGAGGATTCCTTCTTTTTCTTTGGTCTTGTGCCCTGCTTTTATTAGTAATGTCCTCATTAGTCCTAAGTTTCCTTTAGAGTTGGCATTGTTTTCCTTTCCTCTGCTGGAGATGTAATGGACTTTAAAATTCCAGATGGTTCTGCTGGGGTAGAAACCTCCCTTTCAGCTCTGTGCTTTGTAATGTATTGTGGGTTCTGTTTTGGGCTGGGGGTGACAGACTCCTTTTATGGTAGGCCAAACTGATATTGTATGATTTGGGTATTTTAAGATATTTTTTAACAAGTTGTACTGGAAACTAGGAGTCTCATATATTTTACTCTGAGAAATGTATGTGCTGAATTTGATTTTTTATCTTGAGTTTTAAAAATTTGATAATTCTTCAGTCTTTGTCAGTCCCTATTTGAGCATCATCGACCCTAAGAAACAAACAATATTCATAATGTCACTTCCCACTTATAGTTAGAAATCTTGCAAAAAATAGTGTCTTTCAAAAAGATACCAAAGCAAGGTACCAAATATAAGAAATTAAAGCACTGAATTTCAGTTAAGCTAAACCGGTAGCACCATCATTTACTACTAATGGGTGCAGTATCTGGGTGCATGAAAATTTCTCAGACAGATCTTGTTTGGTTGGTGGTTGTCTTCTATCCATTTAACCGCTGTTTGGACACCAGTGGGGGTGGTGGTATCTGCTTCATGATCTGCTATGATTCAGATAGAACTTTGTATTGAAATTCCAGATGACTACATTAAGAAATGAAAAATTTCATGTGGACAGGGTAAATTTTCACATAGAATATTCCTCCTGTGGAACTCTAGGTCCAAAAGGAGCTTTGAAGCTGACTCATTTCTATGGGAACATAACCCAGGAGAGAAGCTTCCAAAAAACAGACCAAAAAAGGGAGCGATTCTAGAGTTGGGAACATGTCAGATGTCACCAGCCACACTTTCCCACTTAACAAATAAAAGAGCTAAGCCCCAAGGTCCTATGATGGTTTTAGTTTTATTTTGTTCTTGGCTATTTCCTCTTTCTAAAAATAGCCCTCTCTGGGGATTAGTGGGATCACATAGTAAGTGCTAGTGACATTTAACCTTTATTAACATCCATTTTGAAGTATCCACATTTTCAAGCAACTGGCATTACACAGTCCACAGAATCTTCCATTCTGGCCAACACTGTGATTTAAATCAAAGAAGTTGTTTCAGAGGAAACCGTCTTACAGACCCTGTGCCCAGCCTACTTAACATCTCTTCAGGGGAATTTTGGACTAAAGAAATTAAGTGACAGGTTGGAAGCCCCAGAATTCTGGGTTTCTGAACCAAAGTTATGATGTATATTTTTCTGAGTCATGAATCCCATGTTATTGGAACCTGAGTCATCTCCTCAGCTTTTGGTGAGGTCAGCCAGACTTGCAAACAAAGGCAAGAGTTCTCCAGGTATCTTCTGTATTGGCTGACTCTTCACTATCATGGATTTTCAAGGAGTGATCTTGGACACTCATCAAAGAGAAATCTGTATGGAGTCTACGTAGGATTTCTTCCTTTTAAAAGCCTTAAAAGTATTTTACAAGTCATGGACTGTCTTAACTACTACTACTAATAACAATAGCAGTAATAGGTGCAGCTAATTTCACCAACATGTGCACTTCATAGGACACCATCACATGCTGACATTTGGGAGCATGGAGCCTTAACATGTTTTCCAACATTTTTTATCTGAAGAATTTTTCTGTTTAAAGCACAACTGAAATCTGTTAAGTCCATTTTCAAATGTAGTTCAGTAGTTTTTATATTCATATACTTGTGGTGAGTTTAAAAAGTAACTTTGTTTAGAGTAGTATGAACTTGTTAGAAATTAAACAGAGAGAAATGGAACATTAATGTTGTTTTCTATTGTGAGTCAAATCACTGGCAAAGTTTTCATTGGTTTCTAGTGTCATGCATGGTGCTGCCTTCTATGTAAATGTACCAATGAATAAATGTTTGGTAAAGTCATTCTGTATTGCATTGTTTCACTCTGCTACAGTTTAAATCTTAGCTTGTTTTTTAACTAGTTGTGGAAAGAGGAAAAGTTCATTCATTGAAAACCAGATCAAAGGCTTCTGAAATCAGCCCTCCACGTACCTGCAAACTAGGTAGAGTTTGGTAGAATATGTAGTTTGATAACTTATTTATTACCCCCAATATATTCCTGAAGTTGGATCCCAAAACAATATTCTGACAAGTTTGTTATTGTTGCAAAGTGGAAAATTGATGGGAAAATATGTATTCTCAAGTCTTTTGAAATATTAACCTCCAGAATCACGGGTGAGAGAAAAAAAGCTGAGTCCTTGTTTTCCTGTTAATAGGGACATTTTGTCCTGTTTATTTAGGTATAAAGTTTTGGATCACTTAAGGAACAGTATTTCTACTCAAAACAGCATGAAAAAGGATTGTCACATGCAGAACCATTCTGTATTTCATATTGCTTGCTAGACTGCCTCTCAGAATATATTGCATATAAGTTCTCATTTTTATGTTTAGAAATTAGTTCGCTATCATTACATCATAATGGTTTCTTCCAATAAATTTTGCCTGTGTGAGGACATGACATTTAAAGCTGTGACCTGTCAGTGGTGTGCTATTAGGGATAACTTGTGTTTTTTCATTGTCTACATTTTTTTTGGGGGGGAGAGTATGTCTTGAGTAGGAAATATTTCTTTGGGTAATAGTGCTGCAATGTCCAACCTTATTTATGAATGATATTTTATTGAATAGATTTCTGTCTTTCTGTACTAATACCCTAAAACTGGAGTGGGCATAAACGAGTCATTTGAATTCAGGAAAAGGAAACAGTGAAGTATTAAATTCGACTCCCATTTTTATTATGAACATTCATAAAAAGTTGCTAGTTTTCAGAGTTTGTCAAAATGGATGTATTTCAAATCAGAATCGAGTATTTTTCTTGATAATTTGCTGAGGAGAGATTCCAGTGAACATATAGTATTTCTGTAATAGAGTAGTCTTGGTGCTAAGTAATGAATTCATTGGAAATTTCTAGCAATTGTGATTTGGGTTGTCCTGAAAAACTCTCTATCAACTTCGTGTTTGTGCCTTTGTTTAAATGTCTAGAACAATAATATATATTTAAATCCTTCAAGTCTATGTGTATGCCATCCTCTAATTTCCAAAATGGTGTTAAAACAAAAATTATTATGTACACACTCTTATGAATGTTTACAAATGAGATCTTAAGACAGATATTAAAGTGTTATGAACTGTCTTCACATTGCTGTTGTGCTGTTTTTAAAAGTAATTTATCATAGAGGACAAGGACACCCTTTTAAAACAGTGATAGGATTTGGAAAGGGCAGCAGTCCTGTTTATTTGCCTAGGAACCAGGAGAGCTGATTTCACAGATGTGGATATTGGACTTACAAGGAGGGTGTTTCCATCCTCCTGTAAGGTGACAGGCAGTGTGTCCATTTTCCTTGCTCTGTTGGAAGAGCCAGACCAGCGTGACCACATCACACTGTGATGAATGTATCTCTGAGGACAGCCTTTCTCAAGATATTCATGTGAACTGAAGCCTCCGCCCATGAGTTCTTGCTCAGAGGAAATACGGCACAAGGTTTGAGGAGGAAGCCAGAAGAGCTGTAGGTGTCTTGGGGCTGGAAGATGGCAGCATTTGGACCCCAGCTTTATCTATAAGGATTCAGGCCCTTGAATCATAATTTTATCCTAAGAAAGATAAACACCTCCCAAGCTGATCGGTGATCTTGAGCAGATTTTCCTGAAAGAAAGTGCTCAATGTGGACAGTTCTGGGTCTTTTCTTACCAAGAACACCATATCCTAATTGAATAAATCAGAATTCACAAGCTCCTGTGTCTTGGCCTGAAAGACCTCCCGGCAGTGAGATCCTAACCTTTTCTCTTTAAGATCACTCCTGCTGTTTCCCCACAAGTTCCCGATTCTGCGTGCACTTGTCTCTGAAGTGTCACTGGAGTGTACTATGGGCTTTTCTCCATTGTGCATTTAGAGATGCTGTTGCTGATGTCTGTAATGAATGTCATCATTTCTTCTAGCAGAATAAATCATAGTCATCGTTCAAAACCCCTCTCAGATGTTGACTTTTGCTGTGATTTCCAGCATTCTCTGCCTTCAGCTACCAGCACTAGTGAATGGCAGGGCACTTGCGGGACATCTCTCACAGCTACCAGTCAATCACCACTGTATCTGGTCTGTCTCCTTCTGCAGGCTGTGAGCCACTGAGAGACAGAGATTGTCTTTCTTACAGATCCGCTAGGTGGTAGGTGCCCAGTGAGTGAATGAGTGAGTGATTGATTTAAGTCTGCAGGGCTACCCTCCAAATTTCCTGGTAAAAAATTTCAAAACAACTTTAACGACTTAGAATCCATGTGGCATTTTCATGTTAGAAGTCATTCTAGAGATCAACTCTGGCCTTAGGAAGCATAAAACTGGAGACATGGAATACCACACCCAGAGCTCCATAGCATCAGAGGAAGGAATAGACCAGAGGTCTCCAATGGACATCTATTTATAAAAAATAAATTTTCTTAATTCTGTTTTGTTCTACCAGGTTGAGACATTTTGGAAATTCTGACTTTTTCTGATATAGCAAAGTATTAACATTAATGCATCTCACCCTTAGATGGATGTCTAGAATGTCTCTTTTGTTTTTCCATTGGACAGGTAAATACCAGCTGTCCCCCACGGTGAATATGCCCCAGGATGACACTGTCATTATTGAGGATGACAGGTTGCCAGTGCTTCCACCACATCTCTCTGACCAGTCATCTTCCAGCTCCCATGATGATGTAGGATTTGTGACGACAGATGCTGGCACGTGGGCCAAGGTTGGCATCAGCGACTCTGCAGACTGGTAAGAACACTCCAGGGCTGGAAAACATTGGGTAATTGTAATCACACTTGATTTTATGTTTAAATATTCTGTCATTGAGCTCAGTGAAATGGGTGTATTTTATAGCTAAGTTCTGTTTTCATGATTTTAATACTCATAATTATCACTCTGAACAAAAGATTTCCCTCAACCTCATAAGCCTGCCCAAATGTGTTAGCCTTTCCAGGTCTATGGTTAGGAATTGAACCAAACCAACAAGAAAACTCTCACTAACTCCAAAATCCTACGCATTTATTAAGTTTCATTTTAAATTATTTTGTGCTAAGTCACTTCAGTCATGTCTGACTCTGTGTGACCCAATGAACCATAGGCAGCCAGATTCCTCTGTCCATGGGATTCTCCAGGAAGGAATACAGGAGTGGGTTGCCATGCCCTCCTCCAGGGGATCTTCTCAATGCAGGGATTGAACTTATGAACATTATGAACAATGCAGGGATTGTCTCTTATGTCTCCTGCATTGGCAGTCAACTTCTATACCACTAGCACCTCCTGGGAAGCCCTTTAATTATTTTATATCTGTGTTAATTTGATGAATTGTTTTTCTATTTGATAAATAAATTCTAAGCAAATCCCTAATGGTGACTGAAAATTTATAACAGCTAGATGACTTTGGCCAAATGAATAGTTGTTATGTTTTGGGAGTGGAGAAGAGGCTTTTACAGGTTTTCTTTTTAGAGTGTTGTGACTGTTCTAGTCTTTGTACTTACTTCTTTTATTATAACTATTATTATTATTATTTTGGCCTCGTGGTGCTGCATGTGGGATCTTAGTTCCTCGGCCAAGGATAAAACCTTCGCCTCCTGCATCCACTGGACCACCAGGGAAATCCCTACTGTCTAACATCATGACTTCTGGGGCAGTTGAATCCTATTTTTTCTCCTTTTTTAAAATAGAAGATAGTATTTGATATTATTGAGTCAGTGGGTGGCACAGAAATGAGGATGTGCCTAGTAATTATATACATCAATAAGCAAAAGGATCATCCCTCCTAGGGATGACCATGGAAGGCTGTAGTGATAATTAACACAAACCATGTGAAGCATTATACCTGAATTTTCTTACTGCCCTTTCTATGGTGTCTTTTATGAATCTATCAGCAAAATGATATCTCATTGTTGTGGCTTTGAGCTACACTCAAGTCTGCGTGATAATAGCCTATCTTTGAATGAGTTTTTTGGTTCAGCATAAAGAACTGTCATATAAAGAAGAAACCCACCACTTGAAATCCTCAGATGCTGTCTCATTTACTGCTGCATTTTATGTCTTTTACTGAATGTGAAAGTGATGACAAAGTAAGGATTAGATATTTGCAATATTCATCATAGGTACAAAAGCCTTTAAGTCGACACTGTGATGAGGAATTATGAAGGCAGCCATAGGAATAGATCTGTTGGGGCCTGAAGAAGCTCTGTATTGGTGAAAATAAATGAATAAGGAACAGGGCTGGAGTGTGGCATTAATATCCCTAAGGGGATTCATAAAATGGTGAGGACATTTTGCTGTGGGGAATGTGCAGGGGTTGGAAAAGAATATGAATGAAGGGTTATCCAAACAAGAATGGCAGCTGTTCTGAATCACAGCAGAAAATGTAAGCTTTTCCAGCCTGACAGTATCTCCCTAATCCTTGATGAAAATGTTATGAAAACAAAAGGGCAATAAGGCAGGATTAATAACTGGAATTTTAATAACTTTGGGCGGGGGGACCAGGATATGGTTACATTCTTTAAAGAATCAGCTGTCAGTCCTGCAGACTAAGTTGCTAAGTATGCTAGTGTATTGTTTCTTGAGTCTGAAATTATTTACTAGGTATATTGATAGGGCAGAATTAATTATGGTTTAAGAATATTTAGTTATTTTAAGATGTTTATTAACTCACAAACTCATTTGACATTTTCAATTGTGTATGTTTACAGTTCGCTACACAATTATGGAAGGTTAAATATGTTAAATGGCTAAACTTTGCACTTTTTCACTGACATAATATACTTTTATTCAATCCATGAATTGACTTAGGAAACAGACAATGTTTGTAAGGTGAAAAAGGTAAAAACAGCATATTCTAATCTTTTTTATTTTTAAAAACAGCATATTCTAATCTTAGTGACAATGTAATTTCAGAGAACAGAAAATTAGTTTAAAAAATGCAGCAATATGTGGTTTTCAGCAACAACAATTTGCACACCTTTGAAAAACCACTAACCAATAATTTCTATTAAAAATATATTGCACATTTGCTCTGTCTGCAAATATGATGCCTACTTGGAGTTCAGGTTTAGTGTATTTCACATGATATGGAAAAGGGTTGATGATCATATGCAAAATGGTTAAAGAGATCAACTTCCAGTATTTAAAAGAATTACTCTTTGTTTGCTGTTGCAAAATTAGATCATAGTTTTCATGATATGGGTTTTAAATTTTCACTTCTAGGGCTGTGTTTCCGAATTGGGGTGTATATACCCTGAAAATTATAAGCATAGTATGGTCAGCTTAGATACTACTTATAGATACTACTATATAAATAATATATGCAGTATATATTTATATAAAAGCAGTCTATATTTATATGAATAATATATGCTAGAGCTGTGCATACGTATGGGTGTGTATATATATATATATATACACACCCATATGTCCAAGCAAAGTAGGATGTGAAGGGATACCTGAGGCTTCAAGATGAACATGATGCTACTTCTTCCTGGAACATCAAATTTACTCAAAGCTTTATAGGAGAAATATGGCACATTAAAAATGAAAAGATTTTATATAGGATGCAAAAAAATAACATGAATTAGGATATAACAGAAGTTGTTTTTGCTTTGGACTGAACACCTAGTCACTGTGGGATGCTCTTTGCTTGGCCTCTGGGTTAGAAGAAGGGTGGACAAGCTAGGTGCCCAGGATAGTACTGATGTAAAGTCTCACTCGGATATGGCCCCTAAACTTGCTGGACCCTGAGATTAGAACTGCCTTATATCCTGAGTTCCAGGCACCTGTCTTGCCTCCTCCTTGGACCCGGCTCTCTATGTGGTGGAAAAGATGAAGAAGGATTTTTCAGTTCCTTTTTAAGTCTTTGGTTGGTTTTTAAAGACCCTATTTCTGTTATCATAATTTTCATTGCATCGATAATTTGAATTAGCAAGTATTTGTTGGGTAATAATAACTCATCTTGTATAGTGGTTTGCAGTTGACAGAGTGCTTTCCCCTTGGGTCCTTGAATTCTCTTAGTGGCCCTGACTGGGCCTTACTGGTGAGTGGGGCCATTCTTCTCTTCCTGGAGCCAATGAAGACATAGGGACCCAAAGCATTCAAGCCACGTCATTTGATGGGAATCACTACGTTATGTCTTTCTTGTCATAATTTTTGGTTTAGGTCATTTCATGCACCATGTATTGCAGCTAAATTTCTGCTGCATATCCAAACCAAATCACTACCTTTTTATTAATATGCATAGTCTTTCTCATAGGGCCAATATGGGATTAGAGAAGCTGGTTTCCACAGAGGCATAAGGGGGGCTTGTATAGTGAAAGGTGACATGGTGGCCACCACCACATTGTACGGGGTCCAGTGAGCTGTGGAGGGACGTTCTTCTACCTGACCACATATGCAAGGTGGCTCCACCCTCAGATGGGAGAGCTCTCTATTTATTCAATGTGCTCAGCATAGACAAAAACCAGTTCATTCTGGCAGCTTGGCTCACAACACCTGGTGGTACTTCTGACACTGTTCCCAGGGTTCTAGTAGGAGGACCGATTCCCCTGCCGCTTACATCACAAAGACACCTGATACTGGATCCTGTCACCACTGATCTGCCCTGTGCTTCATCTTCTCTGCTGGAGCTACTGTGTTGGTGTCACATGAATCCAATGCCATCCAGCCTTAATCCTGAAATACGGTTCACTCTCTCCTACCCATCCCCAGAGCCTGCTTTCTGCTTCTGCTTTGGCATTTTTCTTAGGGAATAGAGATCTTTTCTTGTTTATTACCTTGACTTTGGTATCCAGCACAATGTCTCCATCTGAATAGGCTCTAATTATGATTTGTTGAGTTGATTTCTTCTCAGTTGATTAAGTGTTGCAGTGAAACTACATCCTCATAAAACAACATGCCATACTCTGTACTCTACCGTAGGACCTAGTTGTTTACCCAGTCTGTAATTAATATTTTGTGTCTGCTAATCCCAAACTCCCAGTCTACCCTTGCTCCATCTCCTCTCCCCCTTGGCAACCACAAATCTGCAGAACATACCCTTTTTAACACTTCTATTCCATTGCAGTACATGTAGTCACTTATTTGCTGCCAGTATTTGTATGAATATATGAAGGTTTTCCTCAAATATTCAGTCTTTCTCACATGGAGAAAGAATTGCTCTAGGCGTAAATTAATGTCATGTTTTTCCATTGCCTCCTACACAACCACAGTTTTTTTGATGGACTATATTTGTACTCTTTAAATATTTCTGAGGAACGTGCACATACCCACGTTCATACACACAGGTGTAGGTGAACTTTGCTGACCGGCATGTCTCCTATTTTCAGTAAATGTTTTTGTTTCTCTTTCCTCTTTACACCAGCTCTTTGAGTCCAGACGTCGATCCAGTTCTTGCTTTTCAACGAGAAGGATTTGGACGTCAGAGTATGTCAGAAAAACGCACAAAGCAATTTTCAGATGCCAGTCAATTGGATTTCGTTAAAACGCGAAAATCAAAAAGCATGGATTTAGGTAGTGAGTACAATCTCCATGAATCTTTATCTAAATAAGGTTTAGATGCTTTCGGATGAAAACTGATGATCCCAAACACATGTCTGTTTATTGTGAGCAATAAAGAAAATAAATGTGAAATGAGGCAATTTGGCAAAAATTAGTTTTTCTTGAAGTTTGAGATAACTACATTTCTCCTAAGTGGCATGTTTACATCATGTGCAATATGTTAATATATATGTTTTCTGATGAGAAAAGAAACAAACACATGTGCATATCATGCTCTGTTCATGTATATTTATTTGAAAAAATGAAATGTTTTAATGCGTTAGCTGATTAAAACCAATTTCACTGGTCTTATGATTTGGTTGGTTGTGGGGATTCTTGAAGTAGAAGAAAGTTTTGGAGAGAAACCATTATCTCAATCCATGTCTAGAGTTTGGTTACTTCATCATATTTTCCTTCCATCGCTGTCCTTTAAAGTTTATTTAATGAAAACTCTTCTGTGTTGATAATTAAGGCCTTTAATTGGAATCATAATTTGAGAGCATATTTATTGTAGAAAGTATTTGGAAGCAAATGAGAGAAGGAAAATAATCCTAGTTGTTCAATCACATACCGATCAGGTAGTGTCTCGTTTTAAATCCAAATCCACCAAAAACCAAAACAAACAAAAAAATTAATTAATTAATTATATCCATGCACTGATTGAATGATTAGAAAACACTTTCTTAATCAACTGTAACGTATTTACGCTGTTGTCTGGTGGCTGTTTTTACTTTGAGACTAAAAGCATTAATTTATCCCATGCATAAGTGAAAATTGGGCGATGACTTGCCTGGCTAATGATGATATGCTAACATATCAGTAACACACGTGTCATGAAATGAGATGACTGGCATTGCATGGAGACACGGCTTTCCCCCCTTTTTTGATTATGTTTGCTTGATGTTTCATATTATTTGCATGAAATATTATTTAAGAATTATCACCTAACTGGAAAGTTCTGGGAATGGTTGAAGCATGTTGGGCTGTGGGACTAACTGGGCTAACCATTATACATTTACCTTTTAACAGTAGCTGACGAGACTAAACTCAATACAGTGGATGACCAGAAAGCAGGTAAGAATGGAGACTGTTTCCATAGAAACTGTAGTCCAAGGAGTTTATCATAATTATAGAGCTGCCAATCATATGGCTGTAAACATAAATATTCCAGGCTGCCATGGATGTTTTCATTTTAGGAAATCAAATTGTACAAGGAAAGGAAAATTTTCTTTGAGCAGAAATTTATCAATGTAGTATATACTAAGTGGAAGTATAATTTAGTGCTTCAGAAATGCTAACACAGCCCAGATTCTCTTAATTATATTTGTGTAGGAATGTTTTGTCACAGTTAAGAAAAAATCAAAATCCTGAAAGCATGATCTCTTAGGGTTGATTCTTTAAGTTTCAAAGTCATCTATCTGATGCTTAACTTAACATCCAAAAAATGATTGTCAAAAGGTGATTTTGGTTAGGAGGATAACAGCGCATATATAAATATTTTCACTGAAGGACAGTGTTCAATATAGCTCTCATTAGTCACTCAGAAAACCTTAGTGCTTTTTGTAATGCAGGCTTTAGTTCCTTGCTACAGAGCATTGAATTAGGCTATATGTTGCTTCTGTATCGTAACTTTGTGAACATGCTTGAAAAGCTTTTTGTTTTGTCTTTAACTATTTAGGATTTGCTGCTAAAATGCTACCTAAATCCTTCTGTAGAAATAATGGATTATGTTGACCTGGGTTTTACATCATGGATTTTACTTTATATGTTATCTTACAACAGTAATCAGAGGAAATCTTTATGTGTAATTAAAGTCATGTGCTTTGTACAGTTGAGCATTTTGATTTATTATTATAGGTTTGGAATAGAGTTTTAATTATTGTAGATCCAGTATGATGTAGTTATACCACTTAGCGCTAATTAGCTTCAATTCACCTTTTAAACCTGCAATAGTAATTAGTTTTAGGCTTCTTGAAAAGTATGTATCCCATATACGTATGTAAAGATAACTGTGGACATGCCTGGAGTTATCACATTCTGTAAAGATAGATTGTAAAAACTGCATCCAATAAATCACTGGATTAACTGTAGTGCAAGGCAATTAACAATAGCCTCAGCCCTTATTAAGTAGTTATTTCTTTTATCAAACATAAAATTCATTGGAATTCTGGAGCAGGGCTAAAGAAAAACATTATTTGATAGTTTACATATGTAAATTAGTAATTAGTTTTTGGAGTTAATAGTATTCAGTGCTTTTCAAGAAGTAACCCTTGTCCAATGTAATGTTTATAAAAACCAAATTGAGCTGCTCAGGTTAAAGAACATGATTTTATATAATATGCCAATTGGTTAAGTGAAGAAAATAGTTAATTTAACCAAATCACTGTTACTAACAGGAAAAGAACAATTTATTGTGATTAAGAAATAATAATAATATCCAGATGTCAACTGAAAACATTAAATACCTTTTATGGTGAGTAGGCAGATTTTATCATCTAATTGAATCATCTGCTTTTATAGTGTTTAAAATGTTAGTTAGCTCCTAGATAAAAAGAGCATTTTAAAAATATTATGTGCAATCTGTTTTACTGAATTAAACTGGAAAAACTTAGGACCAAAATTATGACATAAAGGTAGAAGTATTTGCTGGTCTATTGATTTTAAATCTACAATGAATAAAATATCTCCACTGGATTCTTCCCACTCTCCAGTATTAGACAGTGAACAGATTTTATTATTTTCCTTTCTTCACTTCACTTGAATTGCTAAGATTATCATGATTTTACAGTTTAGTCCAAAGGTTTTTAGTAGAGTCACAGTGGCATTTTAGTGTAGATTGTCTGTCTAGCCATAAGCCTTTCATAATGAAAATTGAATTCCATTTCCCTTTGCCCTTGCAAAAGACATCCTCTTCTTTTTTTCTGGCAAGAGAGGTATTAGTAGATAAGAGTAGAAAAAGAGACCTAAAGAAAATAGTATCATTATGATTTCCTCTTTTATTCTTGGATTTAGGAATCCTGTATGATAGTTTGGGAGTAAATTTATTTTCTACAGGAAAAGGGAGAATGGGAATAAGAATTGGGTTTCTAACAATTTAATCTTTGAATATACGAATAAATGAAGCATCCTAATGACTTAATATATTTACATAAAGAGCTTCAAAATATTATTTAAAAATTAAAGACATTGATTTTGTGTGTGTGTAAATAAAATTAATCTTTTGCCTATACCTTGTATAGGGAAAGACATTTTCAACTTTTATGATAAGTTATGATGTTGTAAATCCCAGTGACCCTCATTTAGCAGTCTTACTAATATATTAACGAACTCTTTTGTTAAAGTGTCTTTGATGAGTATACCACCTTACATGAGTGAAATCCATGTTTTAGATCAGGAGTCAGCAAGCTCTTTCTGTAAAGAACCAGGGAGTAAATATTATAGATCTTTCAAACCATACAGTCTCTGGAACAATTGCTTAATTCTGTTGTGATGTGAAGGCAGCCATGGAGAATATGGAGACAAATGGACCCAGGACTGTGTTCTAGTAAAATGTCCAGATTTGACCCATAGTTTGCTGATCCCTGTTATAGATACACAAATAACAGATGTTATGAAAAGTTTCAAATATGTATAAATAGACTGTAGTTTATTAGTCTCCCTTATACCCAATACTCACCATATTTAATTATCAACATTTTGCCAAAATGTTATACTATGGTGTTAAGAACTAGAGAAAAGAGTAGTTAGGTAAGCTTCTAGTGATTCCTACAATATAATCTATTGCTTATTTTGTTACAGTTTCACTTTTTTTTAATCTTAGATTTGCTTTGTGTTTATGTTTCTTCATAAATACATATGTACAGATATATATGTATCAATATTTATATGTATGTAATATGTATATGTACATTTATTTGAATACTCATGCCATTTCTGAAATTAATTGTTAAAGTTTTTAGGGTGCTGAGTATATTAAATCAAATCTCAGCTAACTTTTTATATATAAATTATGTTTTAATGCTAATCTTTATGCTTTACTGGGAGCATATATACATACATATCTTTATTAGAGATATATACATAGATATATGTGTGTATGTATATATAGACGCACACATAATTACACACACATACATACATATGTCCTTTATGAATCCAAGGAAACACCAAATGTTTGGCATATAAATGTTGTTAGGACCTAAATGTAGCTAGTAAGTTATGAAAATTAATAGGCATGACTTATTCAGGAAAAGATCTTCCCAATGCTAATTCTTGAAAATGTGAAGGTAAATGTCCCTGCTGAGAAATCATCTTTTTCCATTCTCTTTCATTCTTTAATCTCTTACTTTTTCTTTAGCTCTTTTGAACAAAATCATTTTCCTTCCTGTGACATGACTTTTATGGATATTTAAAACATGAACTTGTCAAACATTATAGTGCTATCAAGAGAAAAAGTAAGATTGATTATCCTGGCAAGAAATGTTCCTTGTGAATTTTTGTCATGAAATAATCAAATATAGACAAACCTGCATGGAGAAAGTTAAATAAATCATCTTTTTCTCTCAAGCACTCTAATTTATGGAATATTTTTTCTTCATTAGAATCATCTGTCTGCCTTTCTGCCTATGTTACCTTTTTAACATACTTGTTCTAACTTAAAACTGCTACCCCATTGTGAAGATTATGTGAAAGATGTCATGTAAATGAATCTTAAAAAGATAATTCTTGTTTTGACTCTCCCAATTTAATTTTTATTCTGTTTTATACTCTGAGCCATGGAACGACCATGTCAGAACTATTTGTCTTCTATGTGAAAACATATCAAAGTTACTCCTTAATTATTGATCCACATATGGGCTGATGGCCCCATGTAGAGATAAGATATCCAATCTTGCCTCTCCTATTCCCTGCCTTTTTTTTGCTTTGTACCTGTCTTGTTAACAGTGTAAGTGAAGAACTAGTTCTGTCACCTGGATTGCCCAGCTGGTGGTTGCAGGTATTTCAGTGATCTTGAGGTTAAACCCATCTATTTGAGTGCCAGGTCAAGCAATCATCGATGAAGTTGTCTTACCTGGTTAAAGAAATCCATTTAGATTGCCTTCTAAAGCTTGGTTACAAATCTTAAGTCTTCCTAGATCCTCAAGTCACCAAGCCACAATTTTGGTGCTCTGAATTCTTCTCTACTGAAAATTTCTTGGTAATTGTGATGGCTTCTTCCTTCTGTTCATCACCTGTTTCTCTTTGCTGACCTGGAGGCATAAGCCCTCCCATGCAGTTCTGGCATCTTTCCTCCTTTACTTCTCTCTCTCTCGATAGTACTTCTATAGTTTATTTCTGTTCACATCTTGTATTGCTATTCAATACAAGAGAACCACCATTTTCCAGAAATAAGTTTCTACCTGGTGCTAGGGTACCCAGTAGGCGACATGTGGTGTCTTGTGCTTTTCTCACTTGCTGAGTTGTCTGAACCTGTGCCATATGAGGACGACTTGATGAAACTTAGTGAGATAAAAGTTTCACTTCCATTGTAAATAACTGTAAACTGATAAAAAATGTTTTCAGCTAAGTTACAAAGTGTACTCTTGGTTGCTTCCCTTAGCCTTTTCATCATCCTGCTTTGCAGAATGATTTTCTGGGTTATTCTGGTTTTTCAGATTATTAACATAACTTGAAGCAAATGATTTGACAAAGATTTTATCTGTTGAGCTAAAAATGGAAACTAATAGCTTAAAATGTCTCCTAATGAGAATAGAGAAAATAGACCAAATTTAATACACATTTGGGAAAAGTTAAAATTAGTTACTGTCACTTTACTTTTTATATCTTGCCACCCACATTCCAGAAGTTGACACAGAGCAAATAATTTGTCCCTGATATTTTCTACAATTCATAAATATTCAGCCATGTAATTTTCACCACTCATTCTAACATTTTGTTTTTGCCAACTTCCAAGGTTCCCCCAGCAGAGATGTGGGGCCTTCCCTGGGTCTGAAGAAGTCGAGCTCTTTAGAGAGTCTGCAGACAGCAGTTGCCGAGGTGACTTTGAATGGGGACATTCCTTTCCATCGCCCTAGGCCACGGATAATCCGAGGAAGGGGATGCAATGAGAGCTTCAGAGCTGCCATTGACAAGTCCTATGATAAACCTGCAGTGGATGATGACGACGAAGGCATGGAGACGTGTAAGTGTACAATGTCTGAAGGAATAGCCATGACAAGCATCTCTATAGAGAGTTCTTAAAGTGTGCTTCAGGGAACCCTCGGGGACCTCAGCATCCCTTCAGAGGGATCTAGGAGGTCTAAACTATTTTCATAATATGAAGAAGATGTTATTTACCATTTTTACTCTTATTTTCTCACAAATGTACAGTTGGTTTTTCTAGAGGCAACATGTCATGTGATATTGCAAGAGACTAAATGCAGAGCGGATAGAAGAATCTTTTCAACTAGATATTAAAGAAATTTTCCGTTCTTCTCAATAATTGTTTTTGGAAAATACAGATTTCTTTTTTTTTTTTAATGTAATTTCTGCTAACTTGCAATCTATTATTTTTAAAGAAGTAATTTGTATTTTTAAACTTTCTCAGTTTTAGTTCAGTAAATATTGATAGATAGAATCCACAGAAAAATTTTGAGCCCATATAAATTTTAGGAGTATAAAGGTATCCTGAGACCAAAATATTTGAAAACCACTGCTGTACAGTATATCTGTAATATATATCAAATGAATATGTGTAATCATCTGTGATTTTGATAACATATTTTTGTTTTATTTTCATGAATTACTCTTTCCTTGAACTAGGCTAGCAAGATATGTTTATGTATGTGTATTTCCAAATTGCCAAATATTTTAAGCCAAGATTATTGTAAGTTAAAGTTTACTGTGAACGAGCAATGTGTTTTCCATAGTATTGATACATTGAGAAAAAAGTAACGTTTAAAAATACATATAAATGTATGCTTCAGGGAGTTGTTGAAGTTAAACATTTATAAATCAGTTTAAACATAAGAAGGAAACTCAGCATTGTATTTATTTAGAAGAGAATGGACTTGAGTTCTAATAGAAAACAATTAGCTTATATTGTTTGTAACTACTGATTCATATTTTAGTTTTTTAACTTAAAGTAACTCTACCTGGTTAACCATTGTAAGAAACACTGTTGGGAAAAGATAGAAGAAGAAAGAAAGGATAAAGAAAAGCAGAGGATACCCCTACCCAAAATTAAAGCAGAGATCATTTAGGTGGATTGTAAATGATGACAGTTTAACTTTTGGGGGACCACTTCCATTACACATGCCTAAGGAAGATTGTGGTGGGGAAGGAGAGTTTCAAATGGAAATCACATTCTGAGGAGATTTAAAGCAAAATTATATAATCTTTGCCTGTCACATATAATGTGTTTGGGAAAATGAATATTTCTGCTATAATGTAACATGCAAAGCAAAGCTTAGTCGAGAAGCGCTGCATTCTCCCCCACCCCCCACCTAATTCTTAGTTTAAATCTGGACAGCTTTTCACTCCATCCAGCCAGTGATTTCAAATATATGCAGCCCATTCTTGCCAGATGAAGAACATATTTCCTATTTTTGCTGCCAAGCCTGGTCTCCAAGCTCCTGAGTCATATGAGCTTCCAACCCTCTTGGGTTTTTCCTGGCATCTCAGGGGCGCCTTGCCAGTCTCACCCAGTGTTACTTGTGTTTCCTTTCTAGGGTGGGGACCTTCTATCACTTAGAGACCTTGCCTCTGTCCTGGGTGCACATTTAATAAGAGATCCAGTGCTTCGGCACCTCAGTATTTGTTTTTTTAACAAATACAGTTTTTGCTCCTGAGCTTTTTTCTTGTCCTGGTTCACATGTTATTTAAATTCCTTCATAGAATGCAATTTTCTCACATATACCACGTATTTCAAATGCAGCAGGGGATGGAATAGCGATCAGTACCAGGCATGTTCTTAATTCTGTAGCCTCCAGAGCTTCCCACCGTGTGAATGTCTAAATTTGTCCCTGACATAAACTTAGCTTCCGGTTTTAACTGGAATCGGTTTTAACCGATTTAAGTATTTCATATTAAAACTTTTGTACTCAACTATCATCAAGACAAAACCAAGTAAGCAGATGAACTACAATGTGTGAACCAGAAGGGAAGTTCTAGACAACACCCTGACGCGTGCGCCTGCAACCACAAAGTGCTGGGTTTCTAGAGTCCTGACCTGATGGTGTTTTCCCCCAGACCAGTCTGGGGACTCTGGATGTGGCCAGAGAAAGGCAACTGTTGTACATTTCAAATGTCTGCAGCGCGGGTTGTCAAAACTATACAACTGAAGTGGTCTGAGCACTGGCCCGGGGTCCTCCACATTCTTCTCACCCACTTGGAATTTGGGTCAAGTTGCTTAAAATTCTTTTCCTTTAATTCCTCCAGTTGTGAAACTGAAGCTTTGGATGCCGAGGCCATGAATGCTCAGATTGTCTCGGTGTCTACTGAGGAGGGGAGGCTCGGCGGTTTGTGGGAGCTGGGAAACTTGTGGGAGGCTGAGCGGGTGGTCTCTATCAGGGCCACCAGATCCCTGCGCACCCACTGTCACTGCAACAGTCTTGGGGATTTATTTATTCCCATGAGACTTGTGGGATCTTAGTTCCCCAACAGGGGTTGAACCCGGGCGCTTGGCAGTGAAAACACCAAGTCCTAATCACTGGACCACCAGGGAACTCCTAGTTGTGGGGTTTTTAAATCACTCTTCATAGTTTGTGATTCTTTGTCAATTGTAAGTTTAAAAAAGGGAAGTTCACAGGTTGCCAGAGAAAGGTGGAAAAGCTCTGGTTTAGATGGTTCCGTTTCTGAGTTCCTTTCCAGTTTTAACTTTCCATGACTCTGTGTCCTCCTTGACTTACCTACCGACCTCAGTCCTGCCTTCCTGCTTCTCTCACCATCTGTAAAATCTACGAGGAACGATGCCACCGCGTCTGATTCCTGCGTAACCAGGCTCAGAGCTTGACCAAGTGTCGGAGTCAGGGACCGCTTGTCGCGTCAGTGAGCGGGTCCCGCTTGACCAGCAGCGCTGCGTGTGAGACGCACCCCGGGCACAGCGAGCGTCAGCAGCAGCACACGCGCGGCGGCGGCGTTTTGCTCCTCCCGCTCGCGTCCCACTCTGGACCTGGGTGTCCAGACCTCTGCGCAAGAAAAGGCCTGTCAGGGCTGCTCTTCCTGCTGGCGGTTACGAGACTGTTGCCTTCCCTTATGACTGGGTGCCGCTGTGAGAAAGGAGTCTGTGTGGCTCCCTCCTCTCGTTTCCTAAAGCCCGCCCTTTTCAGAGTGGATTCTCAAGACGCGTCTGCATACTCTCTTTCTCTGTCTGCATTCGTGTCTGTGCTCGTGCCCTAACTGCGCATCCCTCGCTGGGCAGCCTCGCCCTGCCTCCTTGCTGTGCGGGCGCTGTCCCTGGTCGCATGTCTGAGCCCTGACGGCCTCGTGCTTCGTGGGACCCTGTGGCTGAGGTCCTTTCTTGTATGGAGGTGGGACTCGGGGCCTCAGTTATGGCCACCATGTCACTGTTGTGCAGTGCTCTGAAAGAGGACCCTGTCCAAGCCGACGGTCTCTGTTAGATGGCCGTCCTGTGAGAATGCCGTCCGTTCACCCTGGAAGCATGGGGCTGGGGGTGGGGCGGGCATAACCTGTCCCGCTCAGCCTATGTCTGTCCCATGCAGTCCTTTCCCTCTTTACAGGTGGAAGTCACACACTTGGAGGGCGAACTTGATTGTTCTTGTCAGCCGGGTCAAGCTCCTCCCTGGTGATGCTCTTTCAGGCTTGGAGCAGGCTTGCCTCTTCTCAGCAGCGCTGCAGTCGTGGCATGCAGACAACAATGGGGGCCAAGAGACCCGGGGCGGGATCCATGTGGTATCTGGTATCTGTCATCTTCTGTAACACTTATGTGCTTCCTGTGGAGATGGCAGAAGTCGGCGTTTTTGTCTCTCATTTAATCCATCTGGCCTCTCCACGTTGTCTGTGTCTGTCTGGATCAAGATGGAGCTTTGTATTCTGGGACCCATTATCTCCAAGGCCCTACCTGTGTTTGACAGGTCAGGGCATCTACAATCTGCTCCCTCTTCTATGCAAATCATACTTCCCGCCTGGCTCTCAGCGAGAGGCTCCTACAGCCCCCGTCATAAATCAGCTTCTGTTGAAACCAAGAACATGGATGCTACATAACATTGACTTGTTTTGTTTTTGAAAATATAGAGTACACCCCCCACTCCTTTTTACCCTCTATTAAAAATTGTCAAGTCATCAGCCTTGCTATCAATTCAGGAACAGCTTTTTGTCGGGATCGAGGAGGTGATACACAGCAAAACCAAAGACTGTCCTATTCATTGTACTCTTGATTTTAAGATCTATCCAGTTTACATTTTTAAATGTGAGAACATTATTCCTTGAAAACATAGAGACAGATTGCGTTTGAGGAGCTTGCCTGCTTGCTTATAGTACTCTTAACAGGAGATAAGGGAAAAAAAAAGCCATTGCTCTAAAGTATACACAACTTAGGTTAGTATGAGATTTGAAGAAACAATTTATGTTAGGAAGTTAGCTAATCTGAGAGCTTCAAGATTAATTTTCCTTTATTTTGTCAGCTTCAAAATAGCAGATTACATGAGTATCTCAGATTTTTCTACTCTTAGCATTCTCTAGATTTCTAGCCATCTTTTGTCACTACCTATTTGAGCAAAAATTATGTAAATTAGATAGTTATCTTAAGAAACTCCAACAGATTACCATAAATCCATAGTGGAAGAATTCAGTATATGGTTTTCAGAGTCCAAGTACTTTGTAAAGGATTTACCATTTGGTTAATCTATCTTTTTGGATAATTGGATGTTGATCTATTAAAAATATTTATTCTGAAGTGCTGGGAATAAGGATAACCTGTCTAATCCTCTTATGACAATTTGTATACTTCAGTATCACTTGCAGTTTAAGAAAAGGAGCTTTGGATAATTTTAGGGCATTTCTGAATGCAGTAGAAGTATAACCATGTGACACAGCCAAAGCTGTCAATTCCTTATATTTCTTTTTTAGGTGAAAAGTAAGTTAAGCTAAAAGTATGATGAAAAGTCACATCTGAAGTGTCTGAATTATAGATTCCTCATTTGAAACATTTTCTGATAAGAAAAAGTATGTAAATATTTGACT